ATGGTTCCCAACCGCCATTTCAGAGTCAAACATGTTTACCTCAAAGTGTCCTCCAAGACCTCTAACTCTTTAACAAAACAAAACAACAAAAACACCAGTTACAAAATAGAAACTTATGACTTGGAAACAATTTAAAGGGACTGGGGAGATAGATGGCTTAGTGGCCAAGTCCTTGTCAAAAAGTCTGAGGACTGAAAACCATGTAAATCCAGGTAGGCATGATGGTCTGCCTGTAGTTCCATTCACAAAAGGCAGAGTTGGGATGCCCAAAGCAAGCTGGCTAGCAACACTAGCCAGACCAGCAAACTGGTTTGGCTGAGAGATCCTGCCCCACTGAATAAAGAAGAGAGTGAACAGGATGATTCTCAGCTTCAGCCTTAGGCCTCCAGTGTTGGGGTCTGAATTTGGGTTATATGAGGAAGTAATGAGTTGGTGACACAGCCATGGAATCATCTGATGTTGATGTTTTTCAAGAAAGGAACTTGGAATATCCACAAATATAAGAAGAAACACGGGAGTGCCTGCTGCCTTCTTCAATTTCAAGAGAGTGGTTAGGATAAATAATGCTCTTGTACCTCAGGCATTTTTTTTGAAGACAAATAACATTGTTGTGCTTTATATAACTTTGACTATGCTGGACCGTAAAGCAGGCTTCACTGTAGATGGAAGTTTCTGTCCTGCCACGTCCTATAGCCGTTCAGTCCCAAATAAACACACGGAAGCTTATATTAATTATAAACTGTTAGGCTGATGACTCAGGCTACTTATTGACTAGCTCTCTCTTAATTATTAACCCATTTCTGTTAATCTATGTATTTCCTCTTGGTCTTGGCTTGCTGATGATGCCTGGGCTTCTTTCTTCCTCAACAGCTACATGGTGGGTCTCTAGAGACTCACTCTCTTCATTCCCCTAGTCTGGTAGCTCTGCCTATACTTCTTGCCTGGCTACATCCTGCCTGTCCATTGGCTGAAACAGCTTTATACATCAACCAATAAGAGAAACATATATTTACAGCATACAGAAGGACATACCCTATCGTATCTTCTCTGCTGAACTGTAAGTTCCTAACTCTGTTATCAAAGGAATTGTAATAATAAAAATATGCCTTGTCATGCTAATTACACTGAAGTGCTCTGCTGCCTTGGGTCCCCTGCTGTCCCACTCCAGTTCCGCTGGTGTTAATCAGGAAAGACAACTTGACCAGCCTCTCCCACTCCACATTCACACCCACCCAAGTGCCAGCACACACACACACACACACACACACACACACACACACACACACATACAACTATGCACACCACACAACATGAAAAATCAAAAACCTAAAATATATTTAAAAAATTAAAAGTTCAACCATAAAATACTCATCCATTAGAAAGAAGCTTTAATCAAAAACTCCAGCTAACTGCCTCAGCTTCCTCAGTTGGATTCTACTAGATGTTGCAAGCATCTAGTTTAATAGTTATCTCTATTCTTTGAGAAGTCTCACCAGGAACCCTTTGAAGTCTCAGTTGGAAATTCCAGCTGGTTGCCTTAGCAGATCTTTACCCAGTTAGGTATTTTGAGCACGCACTTTGATGGTGTTTTACTATTTATCTATCTCTCATTATTTATTCTTTTGCTTTGGTTTACTACATACTTGGTATATTCACTCATCCAAAAACCAAAGTTTGACTATCGTAAATCATTCTCCAGACCTTGCAAAACAGTTGCTTTTATATTTTGCCTCTTTTTTAAAAAGGCAAGACTTATTTTTTTGTATGTATTAATGTTTTGCCAGTGCTCTTAACCACTGAGCGATCTCTCCAGTCCTTCTGCCTCTTTATTGAACCTGTTTTGGAGTTATTCAGTTCACTCTGGATTTTGTTTTTAATTTTATGAACACCTACAGTGGTCATCCTACTGTTCTCTCAGACTTAAAACATGTTTTTACCTTGGCCAGAATCTTGGGAACTCCCACTTCAGCAGGAAGTACATTTGAGAATTCCATGTCCCTTCTCCCTACTATTGATATTAGAGGATAGTTTACACCTGTTAGTGTTAATTTGCAGTTATTTTAGGGTTGGGATTGGAAGGAGGTGTTCAGACTTAGGCATCCCTTTCAGATAAGTTTAGAATTTAGGTGGGATGGATATGTTTAGCTTAGGATAAGTAGATTATAACTTAATTATCACCCTCTATGTATATATGTTGTATATGTTTGAGTTTGTATCAAATTTAAATCTTCTATTTAGACTAAAAGGGGAATTGTAGGAGTGAACCCCACAAAGCTATCCACCCATGAGGGCAGGGACAAGTAAATTAGCACAGGTGGATATAAAAGGAAGTGAAAGGAAAAGAAGTCTCTCTTTCTCTTGGAAGCCAGCCACACTTCTAACCCTTAGCTTGTGCAACTCTCTCTCTGGTGAATAAATATATTGTTTTCCCTATAGCATTGACGATCTTCTATATTTGTCAGCAACTATAAGACAGGTGTGCTTCCTAGCTTGTTCCAGCTTCCACATTGTTTTGGTTCCTACAACTTTTCTGTATCTTCAAAGCCAGTAGCATAGCATCCGGCTTCCACTGCTCACATGGTCTTCTGATTCTATTACCAAGCATCTCCCACTCTTCTAAAAATCATTCTTGAGCCAGATGGTGGTGGTGCACGCTTTTAATCCCAGCACTTGGGAGGCAGAGGCAGTCGGACCTCTGTGAGCTGGAGGTCAGCCTGGTCTACAGAGCTACACAGAGAAACCTTATCTCAAAAAAACAAAACAACAACAAGAAATCCTTGTCCTTACAGGGAACCACTTAGATTGGTCAAGATAATCTCCCCACCTCAAGCACTTAGCTTACTCACAATGGCGATGGTTTTGTTTGTTTGTTTTGGTTTTTTTGTTTGTTTTGTTTTTGTCATATAAGGAAACATTCATGTTGTGGGGAGCTGGGATGTGGACACCTTTGCGGATCATGTTTTCAGCCTACCATAGTGCCCATGATGTATCTTCCTGATTTCCTCCACCTTCTCTGTGGAACCAAGTACCTACCTACAACACAGCGGGCATGGAATACGTATTGCAACATGTGACTCCTGAACTACTTGTGACTGTTGCAAACTTTACTACTCTAACAAATGAGTTTCCCAATGTTAAGCCAGATCATGTCATAATCAATGATTGTGAAGCAACGGACTCAAAAGCATTCCACTTTACACAGCTACCACCTTAAAAGAAGTGGCCTCCAAAAGGGAATAGCTATTGAATGAATGTAAGCTAAATGCAGACTTGGCAAAAAAGAATTAGGAAAAAAATAAGAGAGTATAATGGGAGCTAGAGAGATGGCTCAGCAGTGAAGAGCACTGGCTGCTCTTTCAGAAGACCTGTGTTCAATTCCCAGCAACCAACTGACAGCTCGTGACCATCTGTAACTCCAGCTCCAGAAGATAAGACATAGTCTTCTGGCCTCTGTGGGCACTATACATGTACATGCTATACACACATATATGTAGTCAAAACACTCATGTTCCTAAAATAAAAACAAATATTTTAAAAATTTCACTGTGGTAAAGCTCTTGCTTTGACCTCTACAGAAACTGTGAGCACAGTCATTATGGTTAATCTTCACTGTCAGCTTGACTGGCTTTAGAATTACCTAGAAGATTGGTGGGTACAACTTTGGGTATGTCTGTGAGAGCACTTCCAGAGAGGATTCAATGAGGGGCAAACCCAGCAGGCTTGGCGGCTCCATCCCCCCGATGCATGTTTGCTGTGTTTCCATATGATTTAGACCACATACTTGACAGGAGGCTTCCCGAGCCAGCAAAATGATTCTCCAAGTCAATGACTTGTTTTTTAAGTTCATTTGAAAGCAGTTGAAATAAACCATGTGATAGTCAGGTTGAAAAAACAAACAGTTGAACTAACATACAAACGTGTAGCAGCAGGCTTTAGGCAAAGGAAATGGCAGAAAGGCTTGTTGCTAAATAAGAAGCTGAAGCATCCTCAGCGAGGGCAGTGTGTGAGGCTGAGAGCCCACGATGGAGCCTTCCTTTCTCTCCCTCACCTCCGTCAGGTTACTTAGCTTGTTTGCAGACTGCACACTAGAGGTGATCATAGTAGTACCTGCCACTTGGGTTTGCTGAAATGATTACATAATTGATTTCCTTTAAGCCAGTTAAACCATGCATGGTAAGTCCTCAAGAACTGTTGACCATTGACCTGGAAGGGAGATAAAACAAGTCGGAGCCAAGGACCAGCATTGGCTGGCAGCAAACCATTTTGAGCAAAGTCAACACAAGGAGTATTACACAAGGCCAATCATGGCTCAGGGCTTCAGACACGGTTTGTACTGACTACAAACTTGTACATCTGAACTACACCCCTGGGCTATATACATGCTGTCCCAGTGCATAAAATCCTGTAACTACTGTATTGGCAGTTTACCTGATTTTACACTTGAAATTTCAAAATAGAAGTTTTGAAAGAGAAATCACTTTCAAATGAAAAGGCATGCATTTTATTGAAATTATGTGAGTATGCTTTGATCATGGGCACTGACCTGGAAGCTCCTTTACCTAGGGAGCACAAAGCACTTGTCCCTGGCCCTCCCCAACCCCACAGCTCAGGTCACTGTAATCATAAATTCTACAGTATCAGCTGGTCTCTACAGTAGGGAGAGAAGGAGCCAGGACAGGGCACCTGTTTGTAGGGATTCTAGGAAGTGAACTTTCTTCTTGTTAACATTTGGAGCATGGTTAGCTTCTGAAGTTCAGTGGGCCTTTATCACTTTAAAACAAAAAACAGGAAATTGAAAGTTGACTCTGAAAGAAAAGTGGGAAGGAATGGAGATGGAGGGCCTGTGCGGCGCTGCTGAAAAGCTGTAGCTTAAGACCTACAATACTATTGTTTTCATTTCTTCCCAAAGCGTACTGAGCTGTTTTAGTTTACGAAAGAAGGGTGCACGCCCTCGGGTGGGCGGGACAGGAGTTGGGACGGCACAGCCCCTCCCCATTGGCCACTGCTGTGTTTAGCTGAGTCGCTGCCGCTCTTCTGGGAGTCAAGCCCGGTGCTGGTGGAGCGGTGCCCTGAGCCGGTACCTCCCCTCGAGGACCCACCTCCTGAGCCTCAGACGCACCTCTTGTTGTATTTATTCGTTTGCCAAGGCCCAGGTCTTGCATGTGACCTGACGTGTGTTCAGTCTCTCTTGTCATTCTTTCTCTAGGACAAGTGACGCTGAGCCAACGGGTGAAGCACCATGACCAAGAAAAGGATCGCGGTAATTGGGTCAGGAGCGAGTGGGCTCTCCTGCATCAAGAGCTGTCTGGAAGAAGACTTGGAACCTGTCTGCTTTGAAAGGTCTGATGACATCGGAGGACTGTGGAGGTTCCAGGTAAATCTCCCTAGAGCTGAAGGACTCCTTTCAACTCCCGTGCGATTCATTATCCGGTCCAGGGAATAAGGAAGAGCAAGCCCGTGACTGAATTCTGCCCTGGCAGCTGTCACCTCAGATTTTAGGCCTGTTCCTTTCTCTAGGCTAGTTGCAAAATGCAACATATTTGTCACTTACTTTCCTTTTCCTGTTGCCACGAAAGTGGCACACAGACCAAGGGTTTTTTGTTTGCTTGTGTGCTTCTGAACATCCCTGCCGTTCAAAACCGTGAAACAATCTCAAGAGGAGAAGTAGCAAACATTGGAAGTTCGCTGCTTAATCCCAGTCCACGACGATAGATTAAGAGCCTAGTGTCTGCTTGCATTTCCTTAAGTCGTCTTTTCTATTAAAAGCAGTTCCCAGGATGGAGACGGTGCAGGCAGTAACACTTTCTCTGTGCCTGTATGACAGCCTGCAATCACCTAAGACCAGCTTCAGGGGACCTGACACTCTCTTCTGATCTCCTCAGACGCTGGGTATGAACATAGTACACAAGCATGCAGGCGGCAAAACACTCACACAGATAAAATAAAAAGAAAGAAATTTAAAAAATCCTAGGGCTGGGGAGATTGCTTTTCTAGAAAATGCTAAGGGCTTATTGCTGGAAGCCCTGAGTTCCATCCCAGCACTCACATGGAAAGGAAGGGAGGAAAGAAGGAAGGAGGAAGGGAGGGAGGGAGGGAGGGAGGGAGGGAGGGAGGGAGGGAGGGAGGGAGGGAAGGAACAAAGAGAAAGGAAGGAAGGAAAGAAGGAAGGAAGAAAGGGGAAGGGAAGGGGAAGAAAGAAGCTTAATGAAGCAGTAAGCCCTTTTAATCCCAACTATGGGGGCTCAGAGATGGGATTCGTGGGACTTGGGGGCTACCCAGCGAGCCAGGCTCCAGGCTTGGTAAAATACCCTGCCTCAAATGCATAAGATGGAAAGAATTAAGAAGACCCAACATTGATCTTAGGCTGCTACAGGTACTGTGAGCATGTCAGACAGACAGAAAGACAGACAGACAGACAGACACACACACACACACACAAACACACACACACACACAGAGAGAGAGAGAGAGAGAGAGAGAACACAGCATACACATTCCTTCTACATGAGGTAGCCCTGACAATCCTAGTCCTTGAAAAATAAGATTGCTCAGGACAGCCAGGGATATACAGAGAAACCCTGTCTTGAAGAAGAAGAAGAAAAAAGAGTGCCCTGTTTTCCTTCCCTTGAGAAGAGAAGGTCAAATTCCTTGGCCTTTGCTCCCTCTAGGTTTCATTTGAACCTATGAATATACAACTGGGCAAGTTGTTAGTAAGAGTTCAAATAATAGCTGGGCACAGTGCTGGACACCTTTGATACAAGCACTCTAGGGAGGCAGAGGCAGTTGGATCCCTTTGAGACCAGACTCAGACTGGTCTACAGAGTGAGTTCAAGACTAGCTAGGACTTTGTAGTGAGACCTTGTCTCAAACAAACAAAGCCAAAGAAAGCGCTTCCTACTGGAGTCAGAGTTGTGCTTATTAAATAGATATCACCCACCCTCACTGATTTCCAAACTGGCATGCACTGAGCTTGCATCTTGAACTTACTTTCTGAATAGTGTTGAAGTGCCATGAGTGCGTTTCATTTTTCATAAAATCTAGCAGTGCCAGCCATCTCCTTAGAAAAGCTGTATGCCACTCCACAGTTGGACAGAAGTGCAGCCCTGCATCATGTCTCTGGACAGACAGACATCCACTCTGGCATTGGTCCCTATTCAGAGGGAGAAGGGTCTCATTAGGAGACCCCCGTTCCTTTATCAGCCTGGGCATGGGCTGAAAAGCTTGTTAATTAGGATTATTTTTTGTAATCAACAGAAAGGTTTATTCTTGAAATCCAGTCAGAACATATGGTAGGGGTTAAGAACACAATATTAGCTTCGAAGCATTTGTCTATCATCTAGAAGGAATGTGACTTTGGGAAAATCACTTAACTTCTCCCATGTCCGCTGTTTCTGCAAGAAAGAGCTCCCATAGTGCCGACTTTACAAGGTTATTGCGAGCGGGAGGTGGCTGAGGAAGTGTACTGGCCATTTCTGACAATGCTGGTGCACAGTGCAGCATGCCAGTAGGCCTAGACGGGCACCTGCACACTTGGTATCTCTGCCAAGCTTCAGAGCCAGGACTAATAATTCCCAGACAAGCATGAAACCAACACATGAAAGGAGGAAGTTTGCAAAGTATCCAGCATCGTGTCAGAATATCAGGTTTGTGATTTTTATTGCTGAATTAGATTGAAATGATTATCTTCTACAGATCTAATGGCATTTATTTTCTGATTGTCCTCTTGTCAAAATTTCACCACCTTCTGAAAATCAGTAACCTATGTTTCGTAATCATGCCCTGGCTTCTATCAGAACAGCCATGTCCTCACAGCTCAGCATTCTAGAGCCACTCAGGATCCCGCCACGTATTAGCTTTCCAATATACTTATGTTTAAATCGGTGCCTGGGCCAGGCACGATGCCTTTATCCCAGCACTCAGGAGGTAGAGGCAGGCAGATCTCTGTGAGTTGAGATTAACAAATAAGACGTTAAAGTACTATTTGGGCCATACCTTTGATCCCAACACTCAGGAGGCAGAAGCAGGCAGATCTCTGTGAGTTCGAGGCCATGCTGGACTGACAGCCTCCAATACAGAGAAACCCTGTTTCGTAAAACCAAAAAAAAAAAAAAAGAGTTCGAGGTTAGCCTGGCATATATAAGGAGATCCAAGACAGCCAGAGATACAAAGTAAAACACTGTCTCAAAAAACAAAACAACAAGCCGGGCGTTGGTGGCGCACACCTTTAATCCCAGCACTCGGGAGGCAGAGGCAGGCGGATCTCTGTGAGTTCTGAGTTCGAGGCCAGGCTGGTCTACAAAGTGAGTTCCAGGACAGCCTCCAAAGCTAGAGAGAAACCCTGTCTCGAAAAACCAAAACAACAAAACAAAACAACTAACTAACTTACTGACTAAGGGGTACCTGAGGAGCACACTGTCCTGGTGTCTGCTCAGGATGTTCATGCTTGTTGTGCATCATACAGTGGTGCTAGTAATTTCAATACTTATAGTGAATTCCTGAGGACTTATCTTTTGAAATCTGTTGCCACCTTGCTTTTTTATTTGCAGTCTTGCTATCCTTCCCCCAACACTGTCAGCTTAATTGATCAATTAATTTTGGATGTCTTATATAGACTTGGTCCCAGAACTTTGGGGCTCTCCTATTGGTACCAAGTATCCAGTTAATAACATTGGGGTTCCTTTTTCAGTGACGAGACCTTGGGATTTGGATGTTTTCTTTCCTTCTCAGATGCCACTACATGCGTTTTCCTATTCCTCATTGTCTCACCTGTCACATAAATATACTTCCAGATAACATTTGTGTCTGCCTATCTCTCTGTTCTTTTTCTGTTTAGCTTGCTTAACTAGTGTTGCCTCCTTTGTGTTATAGATTAATACTATCTGACGCTAATTTTATAAGTTTTCTTAAGGCATGGTGGCTCACACCTGTGACCCCAGCACTTGTGACCTTACCTAATTCTATTGTAAGCATCTTATACAAATGTGATACATTTTTCATGATCTATGGGCCATTACCCATAAGCCCATGCTTCGCTTAAATTTACTTAGCTCTTCCTGATGCTGATTTTGTTTGTTGTTGTTGTTTTGTTTTTGGTTTTTTTTATACAGGGTTTCTCTGTGGCTTTGGAGGATGTCCTGGAACTTGCTCTTGTAGACCAGGCTGGTCTCGAACTCACAGAGATCCGCCTGCCTCTGCCTCCCAAGTGCTGGGATTAAAGGCGTGCGCCACCAATGCCCGGCTCTGATGCTGACTTTGTTTTTTGTTTTGTTTCTATTCTAGGATCCCTATAATATTTGATTGTTGTGTCTCTCCAGGCCCCTTTTGGCTATGATGATTTCTTAGCTTTTCTTGTCTTCATTATTTTTACTTTCTTGGTCTTGATATCCTTGACCAATTTGAGGAGGGCTGGTTGGGTATTTTGTAGAATATCCTCCTTGGAATGTGTCTGTTGTTTTTCTCATGGCTAGCCTGAGGTTCTTCAGTTTGGGAAGGACAATCCTGGAGGTAAAATCCTCTTCTCAGTATATCATGCCAAGGGCAATCATTCTTGCTATGACCTGGCACTGTTTGATTTCATCTCTAACTTGCAGGAGAGTGTGTCAGGCTTGGCTTCTTCAAAGTTCACTCCCTTTTCTGCCTCCAGAAGAAAGTTCCTCTGGCCAGTCACACCTAAGGACTGTTGGCTATTTCCAGGAGTCTTTAGAACCCATTTGCTGATAGCTATATAGTGGTTGCTGGGTTGCGGGCAGAATCACACTGTGTCTTCAGGCCAAGGCAGGAAGAGCAGGCATCCTAACAGTATTGATTCTTCCAATCCACAAAGACAACAGCTTCATTTATTCCAACCTTTGATTTTCCTGTGTCTGTCTTTTATGGTTTATTCATATTCCCCTATACATCTTTTCTTAGATTTATGTCTAAGTATTTAATAAGGGGATGGTTTTGTAAATAGTGCATTTTTAAAATTAAAAATTCCAATTGTTCATTTCTTGCATACAGGTAGTCTGCTTGTTTATTTTTTAAGGGTCTTGCTCTGTAGCCCAGGATGGCCTCAAATTTATTATGTAGTTTAGGCTGGCATTGAACTTCAGGATTATTCAGCTCAGCTTCCAAGTGCTGAGCTTCCAACTCTGCACCACCAAGCCTGGCCATGCAACTGACTCTGTGTGTGTGTGTGTGTGTGTGTGTGTGTGTGTGTGTGTGTGTGTACATGTACAAGTGTGCTCATGTGCAGGTTCACATGTATGCAAGCTCAAGTGTTGTCCCTCAGGCATGGCCCATTTTTAAGGGAGAGGGTCTTTCTCTTACTGGCCTAGAACTCGCTAAGCAAACCAGGCTTCTGGGCAGCAAGCCCTGGGGATCCATCTGCTTCCACCTCTTTGCTGTTACACTTGCAAGCACATGGCACTACACCCGGCATTTGTTAATGGAGGTTCTGGGAATTGAACTTAGGTTTCTATGCTTGCAGGCATCCCCTAGCCCTACAGTAACTTGTAGGTTGACCTTGTTTTATATGGCCTGGCTGTGTCCAGTAGTTGCAGTTTTATTTTTTGGGATTTTTTTACATAAACAGTCATGTAATTGGCCACAAAGCCAGTTTGTATTTCCTCTTTCATGACTTGTAGGACATATAGCTATGACTTCCAGACAATGCTGCCTTTGAGTGTTAAGAAAGGACATCCTTGTTCCTAATCAAACTAGAGCACTTAAGGGGATGGAGAGATGGTTTAGTGGTTAAGAGCATTGGCTGTTCTTCCAGAGAGCCTGGGTTCAATTCCCAATACCCACATGGCAGCTCACAGCTCTCTGTAACTCCAGTTCCAGGGGATCTGATACCTTCATGCACATAAAATAAAATTAAATAAGTTATTTTAAAAATTAAAGCACTTAGTCTCTCACTACTAAGCATAATGATACCTGCTTGCATGTTTTAAATTATTTTTATTGACTCGAGAAAGTGTCTTTCTATACTATTCTGTTGAGCATTTTACTTTATTGTGAATGTTTTACAAATATTTTAATAAAATCAAAGGGAAAGATCCTACCTTTTAAATAAACAAGTTTCCCTATAGAAATCATATGCACAAATTATAATTAATCCATTGTACTCAAAAAGTACAATTTACAATATATAATTATATAAACAGGATAGATGGATAGATAGACAGACAATTAGGATGTACATTTAATTTCATGATACACATTATTTTTTCACTTAAAGTTATAGCAGGTCACTTTCAGTGTTCTTACATAGGTTTAAATTTTTCAGGGTTTTGTGAATGTGTGTATGCATGCATGTTTTGTGCACATTTTTGTGTGCACATCCACATGCTTGTGCATGCAAATGGATGCCATCCCCCTTTACTTTTAAATATTTATTTGTTCACCGGAACCTGTGACTGGTTGGTCAGGCTAGTGAGCTCTAGAGACCTCTGGTGTTACAAACGTGCCCCAGCTAACCTGGATTTTGTTTGCTTTTGTTGTGAATGTGTATGGGTATTTTTGCCTTGATGGTATGTCTTTGCACCACCTGTGCGCAGAGGCCAAAAGAAGGCACCTAAATTTCTAAACTGGAGCTAGCGATGTTTGTGGGCGTTCATGTGAGAGATGGGAACTGAGCCTGGATCCTTTACAAGAGCAGCAAGCACTCTTAATGCTGCAGGATTTACATGTGGCACAATGTTTTCCAGTGGTGCTGCAATGTGTGTGAAAACTCCCATGACTTACCCACTGAGCTGGGCAGTTCTCACTTGGGACTCACATGTTGGAAACAGAGGACAGCTGAGACTGATCCTTCATACAGTTAGAACTTCAGTAGGAATGGCCAGAGTTCCTGGGCGCTGGTGGGATAATTCTCAACTTCAGATGTTCCTTCCCTTCGTGGGCCTTGGTTGGGCTTCCTATCAGCATAGTGGTCTTAGGATGGCAGGACAGCTTCTGTGGGTTTTGGCTCCCACCAGAGTGAGCCTTCTAAGTGTATTGTAAGATTACTTATGATTTGGTCTTGCAGGGTACTCAATGCCATGCCAACTGTATGCTGCTGATTAAAAGACAGTTAGAAAGACAATTCAGTTTCAAGAGCAAAGAAATGACTCCAGGGGAGACATGTTGGGAGATGTGGAAGGTGTGTGTGTGTGTGTGTGTGTGTGTGTGTGTGTGTGTGTGTTGGTTGAAATGCATTTCATTCAGATAACTTTTTAAATGTTCATTGGCTACTTATAAATCGTGAGGTTGATTCTCAAGTGCCACAGATACGTCTTATTTGCCACAGGAAAACCCTGAAGAAGGAAGGGCCAGTATTTACAAATCCGTGATCATCAACACCTCTAAGGAAATGATGTGCTTCAGTGATTACCTCATCCCAGACCATTACCCCAACTTCATGCACAACTCCCAGGTCCTGGAGTACTTCAGGATGTATGCTAAAGAGTTTGACCTTCTGAAATACATCAAATTCAAGGTAAGACATTTTATTTGCTTCCTGTTTGAAATTCTCCATTGGGTCAGTGAATAATGAAGCCTGGTTTGCATGTGTTATGTGCCAAGCCTGACCTGAAATAGGCATGTGTTTATTCTGTCCAAAGACGCCTTGAATTATGGTCCCTACTCTACCACAGATTAGCTTGTGCTCTTGGACAAATGAGTTTCTCACCTTCAATTTCTATAAATTTTCTTGTCTATAAAACAGCATGATTATCCCAGGTGGTTTCTGGTTATTTCTTTCTGTGAAGTTTTCTGTCATGTTTCTATAATTTGTAATCACAGCCATAAAATAACACATATTTATGACATCTGGCAAAAACCCAAACCGTCTTCCTGACTATTCTGCTAAATCATGCCCAAGGTAACATTCAACAACAACTTCCACAGCCAGATATTTGCAGTCTGTGAATTGTCCTTTGTTTAAGAGAGATGCCTCTCAAATAAGCTTGGGACTGTGCCAAGCACTAAAACCTGCAGAAAAAACCAAACAAACAAAAACTCAGATAACAAGGCATTATATAGGGGACTAATAAAAATGAAGAAGCCCATGCTGAGGAGAGCTACCCACAGCTGCCCAGAGGAAGGTGCTCAGGCCATCAGGACACAGCACACCAGGCTTCGGGGAAGTTTACTTAGAGCAGATTATATCTGGGTTGAGCCTTGAAGGATGAACAGGAATCTGCCAAGAGAAGAAGGAAGAAAAGTGTGACCCAGGCAGAAGCACTGATCTGTGTAAATGCTCACTGACAGAGAGAATGTTGTGTGTGTGGTTCAAGATGGCAGGGCTTGGTGGGATCTCCTAGTCCACTGAGACATCCTGGCCAAGGCTTCAGAAGCGCATCAGAATACATTCTTGGTAGCTATACTGTTCAGAGTAGCCCCTATTTATTTATGTATTTATTTTACAAAGCTAAAAATTATGTCACCAATTACCCCATCTCACTGCTTCTTTAGAGGCCTTGTAAAATTAACAGCTACAGAAGGCAGAGAAAGACTCCATTACGTACAAGAAGGCCACTGGGGTGGTGTTCTATGCTCAGTGGAAAGGTAGACCTGTATCTGGCTCATACGTTTCAGGCCAGCCACTGCAATCAGGATTGGGATAAGAGGACACAGGGGTGGTGGGGTTGGGGGTTGGGGGTATTAAGGATGGAGGAGGTCGTTAGTGCATATGTCACTAATGCCTGGGAGAAGCCCTGGTTTTACTCAGGCACTGCAGAGCCTTAGGGCACAAACCAAAGACCTAGCAATTTATACTTGTTCCAGGAGCAGAGGACACAATGCATTAGATTGCCTACTCAATTTTATAGCCTGTGCCATTGACATCTATGGAGTATGTGAATCAAATATACCCTCCAGGGGCCCCATAAGTAATGGTGCCTGTGACAGTCCCTTATGTGCCATTCTGCAGGGAGTTGTGTCAGGGAGGGCATATACTCTATAGGCTGCTGATACAGTTCCCTGTCACTTTTTAGACCACAGTGTGCAGTGTGAAGAAGCGGCCTGACTTCTCTGCTTCGGGCCAATGGGAGGTGGTCACTGAGTGTGGAGGGAAAAGGCAGGTGGATGTCTTCGATGGAGTCCTGGTTTGCACAGGCCATCACACGGATGCTCACTTACCCCTGGACAGCTTTCCCGGTGAGTAACCTACCAGGAGGGAGGAGACTGCAGCCATGACTGTGATCTGCCCTGAGGAGTGGGAGGGGCGGGGTCGGAGTGATTCTTATAAATAAAGTCTTACCCTAATTAAATACATTTCTCAGCAGATGTCAGGGTAATGGGTATTGCTGCCATTTAGAAGTGGGGAGGATGACAGTTTGGAAGACTAGAGCCACCAATGTCATTTTTTTTTCAGTCAGTGAATGACTACATGTGCAAGAGTAACCCCATAATATTGTAACAGGGCTGAAAACTTCCTATTGTTTTGTAAGGTCTTAGTCATTGTGACACTGAAACACAAAATGCTGTTTGTAGGAGTGTGGTGTACACCAATCTACTGCACTGTCAAGTTGACTAAAATTATAGCATTTAGGTCTGTTAAATACTAACACTGGACAATGAGTAACTTACAAGTCTTACAGATTATGCATTTACTATACTGTACTTTGTGTAATTCTTCTATGCATTTAGAAAGTGTGCTATACAATCATAGGCCATCTTATCCCAGCAACAGTCTCACACACTCATGTTTATTGTGTCTTTCTATTGACATGTACTATCTAGGTGTGTATAGTCTCTGTCCAGTGATGAAACCAATTTTAAACATGCTGAATGACTGTATGTAAACTCTCGGTGACTATGTTTTCCTCAGAACCTAAAGAAATTCTAGAGTTCTTTCTTTTTTTAAATTTGGTTTTCAAGACAGGGTTTCTCTGTGTAGCCCTGGTTGTCCTAGAACACGCTCTGCAGACCAGGCTGGCCTTGAACTCGGAGATCTGCCTGCCTCTGCCTCCCTAGTGCTGGGATTAAAAGGAATGCGACAGCAACACCTGGCTAGAGTTCTTGATTAGTATTAGTTGGAATTAGAGATTTTTTTTCATCAATTGAAGAAGAAGGAAAAACAGAAACATTGAGTTTCTAAGAATGAAGTGAGAAGCTGGGCTGAATATTGTATACATAATAAATAAACCTTTTAAAAAAGAATCTAAAATATTTTTAATATGAGGATGAAAAGAGAAAGGAGGTTTTCTGAGGCTGTCTGGACTTCTGTCTCCAAATTCAAACCGCAAATTATTTAGTTTAGGGAAATCACAAAGGCAACAAGAGAAGAAAAGAAGCAAACATGTTTAGAAAGGCGAGAGAGTGGCTTAATAAAGGGAGAATGTATAAAAGATCAGTTTAAACTTTAAACACCGCTAAAGAAAACAAAACACGCTATTTGATAAATAATACTCTTCATCCAAATCATCTCCCAATAACTATTTTCCCTTGTCTTGTAGGAATTGAAAAATTCAAAGGGAAGTACTTTCACAGTCGCGACTATAAGAACCCAATAGAATTTACCGGGAAAAGAGTCATTGTAATTGGCATTGGGAATTCTGGAGGGGACCTGGCTGTAGAGATCAGCCACACAGCCAAGCAGGTTTGCATCAAAAATCGGTCTACTTTGCTTCACTCTTACCCAGGAAGTAGACCCAGCAAAGCATACAGAGACCTACACATGGCCCACCCAGGCCAGCAGCAAACACATGGGACTTGTTAGCTGCCAAGTTGCAGCTTGAGGGTTGATGCTGAATATATTAACCTATAAATCAAAATTTTCAAATGGACTTATGCATTTCAATGTGTCAAGGAAATCTGACATGATGCTCTTTAGAGACTGTGTGTGTGTGTGTGTGTGTGTACATACATGACTACAGGCATCACATTCTCCTGAGGCCCACATGACTGTGAGCCACCCGACTTGTTTGCGTAGTTTTTCCTGATAAATTATAGAATTAACTCATGGAGTAACATAGGAAATCACCTTCATGTTTAGATGTGGAAGGAACACTAAGCAGAGGTATTGTTGGGACAGAGTTGCTGGGTGAATATTGTTTAACCAAACTGTAGCATTAAAGATTTTTCTTGAAAGAATTTTAAGCATATTTTTAGAGAAACAGAATAATCACAATTACCAAAAAACAGGTAGGCATTTACCTATTGCCAATAAAGTAGTGACTCAATGAAGATAAGAGATCATATTGATTAAGTAATTTCCTTACATATTCCTTTTACAGTAAGATTTGTAAATAGTTTGCTTATTGTAAACAGGTAGAGATGGTAAAGTGAAGTTTAAGTGTAACACTTATTGAGTGCTCCCTGTATATCACACCACTACAAAAACACCGTTTCTCACAATTACCTTGGGATACATGCATTATTGTCTCTGTTGAGTAAATGAGGAACCTTTTAATTAAGCCTCTGAGCACTGACCTTACTTTCCCGAAGTTGTACAGCTTATACACAAAAGCATCTGGTTCCTGGGAATATGTATGCACTTTCATCTGTGACATGCTGAATCCTTTTACATGTAAGCCCTTGTGTTCCCATCCGTGAGAGTGTGTGTGGAGGAAAGGACCGTTCCTCTGCAGACAGGCTGTTCACTGCTTGAGAGCTTAGACAAAAGGCCTTGGAGCAACAGACATTTCTTACAGTTCTAGAAACCACCTCCAGAGGGGGATATGGAACAGAAAAAGGGATAATCTTGCTGGCAGTTTTGAACATGGACTTTGGCCAACGGGGGCCATGGAAAGACTGCTCCCTCTAGTTCCACTAGCAATCTTCCTTGTTTTCATGAGTCAGTGAAACATTCCCTTATACAGACTGCGGAGTCAGACGCTGTAAAAGTCAGCTTTGCTGCTTCCTAGCAAGGTGACCTCAGGCTGTGTGACTTGCTCTTTCCACGCCTCTCAGGCATTAAATGGGGCTGACAGTGGTGTCCAAGAGTCACTGTGTTGATTAAATTAAATGTAAAGGGCCTGTCACAGCAGCTTACTTATGTGTCAAAGATATCAGTAAGGAGACCAAGGGAGCACATGTTTTACCTCCTGCTCTGCAGAAACTCACTCGGAGAGTCAGAGGTCAAGAGCTTATAAATAGGTGACAATAGACCATCTCTCTAACAGGGTTATTGATGATAAACGACATAATATAAATGATACAAATGATGAACAAGGTTTTTCTAACATTGCCAATGTTACATTTTGTAACATTTGCAAATGATATCAGTGGCAAAATGACTGAGGGTTTTGGATTAAAAGAGCTGCCATTACATGGCCAGGGGTTGGTGGCCCACACCTTTAATCCCAGCACTCGGGAGGCAGAGGCAGGTGGATCTCTGTGAGTTCAAGGCCAGCCTGGTCTACAGAGCGAGTTCCAGGACAGCCTCCAAAGCAATACAGAGAAACCTTGTCTCGGAAAAAAAAAAAAAAAAAAGAGCTGCCATTACTTTCAGTCATAGTTTTTTGGGTTTTTTTTTTAATGCTTTACAGTTATTTGCTTTGTGTGGGGGGTAGGGGAAGTACAAAAGCATGGGGCTGCTTTTGAAGGATGGTGAGCCAGACTGATCAAAACAATGTTTCCCATGCCCCAGGTATTCCTCAGTACCAGAAGAGGAGCTTGGATCTTGAACCGTGTAGGGAAAAATGGATATCCTTTTGATGTGCTGTTCTCATCTCGACTTAACTACTATTTGTCAAAGATCTTTAGTTCATCATTTAAAAGTGGATTCATGGAAAAACAGATAAACCAAAGATTTGATCATGAAATGTTTGGCCTGAAGCCTAAACACAGGTATGTTCCCAGGATGGGAGAGAGGCTGGAGATGGCCAAGACACGAAGATGAGGACTGCTGACATGGGCTCATAGCAGAACTACCTTTACCCAGACCTTAAGAGCATCCGTAGGCTCAGGAATCCACTTCCTAGCTTGCTGATCTGTAGGTTTTCAGCTGATTCTTCTTGATGGTAACTGTTTTCTCATGGTGTTAGTTCTTTACATATGGCACAGCAAAGACACGGTGCAGAGTTAAGGCATCATCTGCTCATCCACTCAACAAGCTGCAAGCCAGGTTTGCACTATGCTGGGCATGAAATACAGAGGGGAAAAGATACAATAGTAACACTAATACAGACTGTAACGCTTTGCCCTCTGGAGGACTTTCTATTGGCGTAGAGCTAAGTGAGTCCTGTGCTGTCTCTCAAACCTTACAATGACCTTATAGGCTGGGCTTGCTTAATGTCTGTTTTCTAGACATTCAATATAAAAAAATTGAATCTTAGGAAACAAAGTAACTTGTCCAAGGTCAACACAAGAAGAAACAGCATGGAAAATGGATGTTGCCTTAAAAACATCAATAAAAAGAAATAACAAATATGATGTTTGAAAATTCATACAGCGACAGATCTGGTGGTGGACAATTTTAATACTAGCTGCAGGGGAGATGGAGGCAGGATGAGTCCTAGTTCAAGGCCAGCCTGGGTAACTTAATGAGAAAAGGTGGACAACAGAAAACAGCTGACGATATAGCTTAGCAATAGATTACTTGCCTAGTATGAGTGAGCATCTGCATTCGCTCTCCAGTACTGAAATGTGCAGGGTGGGAGAGGGGAAACAGCAACCTCGAAGCATGGACTATATGAGGAGTATGGAATGAAATTACAGTGTGGACTTGGGGCTGGTGGCGTGGCTCAGAGGGTAAAGGCACTTGCGGCCAAGCCTGATGACCCAAGTTTGATCTCCAAGACCCATGTGGTAGAAGGAGAGAAGTGTTCCTCTGGCCTCCATATGCCCCTGTGGCACACAAGACCACATATGTGTACACACACAGACATACACACTCTCATACGCACCATCAGTCAGCCAGTAAATGTCAGAGCTTTTATCAAAGCATTTCTAAAAACTGATTGTAAATGCTTGATTGTGCCCTTTTTATTGTATCTATTATTTGTGGTGTGTGTATGGGGGGGACAGGTTTGCATAAGCCTTGCAAGGTATACTTGTAGAGACCAGAGACAGGTTGTGAGAGTTACTTCTCTCTGCTGCATGGGTTCTGGGGAATTCAAGTCAGGTCATTAGTTTTGGCCCAAGAGATAATAACCTGCTGGTGAATGTAAAATAGCCATTTCACTTCTTGGGCCTTTGGAACTGGAACTGGAACTGAACATAATGTTCATAATCTATTTTGGCCGTTTCTTGGGAGCTGTCAAAAACTGCTGGTCAGTGGCTTACCATGCCTCACAATATTGCTGTTACCTGAGAAACTACATATACACCCTTCAGATAAAACCCTTTGCCCTTCATTCCTGCAGTAACACCCATACACACACCCACACACTTCCAAACCATCCAGGCCCTGAAGTCCTGATCTATGCCAAGCTGGTATAAGGCAGACCATCAGCATCTTTGGCCAGATAGGAGGGGTAAACACTGCCATGTCTTAGCACTGGAGCAGAATTATACTCCAGAGCTGATTTCTCTCTTCCCTCCTCCTCCACTCTCCCCTCATCTCTTTGTCTGCCTTACTATTTACAGAGCTCTGAGTCAGCATCCGACAGTGAATGATGAGCTGCCAAATCGTATCATCGCTGGCTTGGTGAAGGTGAAAGGAAACGTGAAGGAATTCACGGAGACAGCTGCCATATTTGAGGACGGCTCCAGGGAGGATGACATTGATGCAGTCATCTTTGCCACAGGCTATAGCTTTGCCTTTCCTTTTCTTGAAGATTCTGTCAAAGTGGTCAAGAACAAGGTGTCCTTGTATAAAAAGGTCTTTCCACCTAACCTGGAAAAGCCAACTCTTGCGATCATTGGATTAATTCAACCCTTGGGAGCCATTATGCCCATTTCAGAGCTCCAAGGACGCTGGGCCACTCAAGTGTTCAAAGGTAAGTGATGATGAACATTACAGCTAGGTGAAATGCTTTACCGATACCTGTACAAGTGCTCTTAAATACCAACAGGGTAAGTATGATTTCAACAGTGCCTGGAACAAAGCTAGTGCCAGACAAATTATTTTCAGACAATCTAAAGTAGTAATGCATAACAGACATACATAAAAGCAAGTCAGTAATTTTTCTTAATTAGGCATGCTTTAATCCCATTGCTGCCAGTGCTCAATTCAGAGGTGGTTTGGCTTAAGATCTTTGAGAAAAAGGTTCTCCAGATAACTCCAGTGTACAGCTGGTATGTACTTGTGGAATTAAATGATCCTTTCACTAGAGATGAAATCTAATATAGACTGTCATGACTTCATTTCAGCCATAGATTTAGAGATGCTTAGAGATTCATCCAGAATGTGGAATATTTAATTTCCCCTCTCTTATGTCCCTCTTTCAGCTTTAGCTATGTGTGAGAAACCTTTAGAGTTTAGGGTAATGGACTCAGTATGAGTCAGCCATGTGGGGAGCCTTCCTGAAGACTACCTTAAATTCAGCATCATTACGGAGTCTGAGAATAATATAATTGTTCTTTTCTAATCTGATTAGGACATACCTGAAGGTAAATTTGTAGGGAAAAAATGCAAGAATGCAGTGAATAGGGGGAGAGGTAACAATGGCTTGGGGAGCGGTTGGAGAGATGACTCAGCAGTTAAGAGTATCTGTTGCTCTTGCAGATGACCCCAGCTTGTTTCTCAGCCCCACCTGGTGGCTCACAACATCCATAACTCAATTCTCAGGGGATCTGATGCCTGACCTCCAGGGGTATCAGTTATGTACATGATGCACAGACAGACAGACAAAGCAATCATACACATAAATCAAAAGCATTAAGAGATTTGAAAGCACATCATCTGAATATAAATGAACCAGCTAGAGAATTTTAGGCTACAGAAGGTAAAACCTGAGGAATATGCAAAAAAACCCTTTAAATATGCAAATAGGTGGCCTATAGAAGAATTAGATTTACTCCAACCTTAATGCTTCAAGGTGTAGACCTTTTAGCCGATGCTAAAAGGGGGCCAAAGGGAAGAACAGTGATTATTGAACAGAGCTGGGGAAGTCCCAAAGTAACAAAAGATGGGGTCACTGCTGCAAGGACAATTGATTTAAAGGATAAATACAAAAATATTGGAGCTAAACTTGCTCAAGATGCTGCCAGTAACCCAAATGAAGAGGCTGGGGATGGCACTACCACTACTACTGTTCTGGCATGTTCTATTGCCAAGGAAGGCTTTGAGAAGATCAGCAAAGGGGCTAATCCAGTAGAAATCCAGAGAGGTGTGATGTTGGCTGTTGATGCTGTAATTGCTGAGCCAAAAAAAACAATCTAAACCTGTGATAACCCCTGAAGAAATTGCTCAGGTTGCTACAATGTCTGCAAATGGAGAAAAAGACATTGGAAACATCATCTCTGATACAAAGAGAAAGGTCATCATAGTGAAGGATGGAAAAATCCTGAATGATGAATTAGAAACTATTGAAGGCATGAAGTTTGACAGAGGATATATTTCCCCATATTTTATTAACACATCAAAAGGCCATTCCAAGATGCCTATGTTCTGTTGAGTGAAAAGAAAATTTCTGGTGTCCAGTTCATTGTACCTGCTCTTGAAATTGCTAATGCTCATCGGAAGTCCTTGGTCATAATTGCTGAAGATGTTGATGGAGAAGCTCTATCTGTTCAACACTGGTTTTAAACAGACTAAAAGTTGGTCTTCAGGTTGTAGCAGTCAAAGCTCCAGGTTTTGGGGACAATAGGAAGAACCAGCTATTGCTATTGGAGGTGCATCATTTGAAGAAGAGGGGCTAAATCTAAATCTTGAAGATGTTGAAGCTCATGACTTAGGAAAAGTTGGAGAAGTCATTGTCACCAAAGATGAGGCCATGCTTTTGAAAGGAAAGGATGACAAAGCTCAAATTGAGAAATGCCTTCACGAAATCACTGAGCAGCTAGACATCACAACTAGTGAATATGAACAGGAAAAGCTGAACGAGAGACCAACTAGTGAACATGAACAGGAAAAGCTGAATGAGAGACTCCCTAAACTTTCAGATGGAGTAGCTGGGTTGAAGGTTGAAGGAACAAGTGATGTTGAAGTGAATGAGAAGGAAGACAGAGTTACGGTGCTCTCAATGCCACAAGAGCAGCTGTTGAAGAAGGCATTGTTCTAGGAAGGGGCTGAGCTCTGTTTCGGTGAATCCCAGCCTTGGATTCATTAAAGCCTTCTAATGACAATCAGAAAATAGGTATAGAAATTATTAAAAGAGCACTCAAAATTCCTGCAGTCACAATTGCTAAGAATGCAGATGTTAAAGGGTCTTTGGTAGTTGAGAAAATCCTGCAGAGTTCCTTGGAAGTTGGTTATGATGCTATGCTCAGAGACTTTGTGAATATGGTGGAAAAGGGAATCATTGATCCAACAAAAGCTGTAAGAACTGCTTTACTGGATGCTGCTGGGGTGGCCTCCTTGCTAACTGCAGCAGAAGCTGTAGTGACTGAAATTCCTAAAGAAGAGAAGGCCCCTGGAATGGGCACAATGGGTGGAATGGGAGGTGGCATGTTCTAACTCCTAGAATAGTGCTTTGCCCTTATCAGTGAACTGTGACAGGAAGCTAAAGGTACATTCCTCGGTGATAACTTCAGAGAAGTCGCCTGAAGAGAATGATGAAGAGAAGGCTGGCTGATCCCTATAACCAGCAGTTACCGGCTCCCATTGACAGTACATAATGGCTTACTGCTGTCATTGTCCATGCCTACAGAGAATTTATTTTGTATTTTTGAATAAAGACATTTGTACATTCCTGACACTGGGTGCAAGAGCCATATACCAGTGTCCTGCTTTCAATTTAAATCCCTGAGGCAGTTCTACTATTCTGTTACAGTCAGGATTGCAGTGCTTGTGTCACCAGATGAGAGGGTCAGAGGCAGCCTTTCTGTGGAGAGGGAGAATAACTGTGTTCAAAGTAGAGAAGTATCCAATTATGTAACACCTTTTGTGTAATAAAATTTTGTTTAAAGTTAAAAAATTCGAATTTCTATCATTTCTTCTTTTTTTGTTTTGTTTTGTTTTTTGTTTTTACGAGACAGGGTTTCTCTGTATTGTTTTTGAGGCTGTTGGTCCAGCCTGGCCTTGAACTCACAGAGATCCGCCTGCCTCTGCCTCCCGAGTGCTGGGATTAAAGGTGTGTGCCACCACCGCCCGGCTATCATTTCTTAATATCAGTTCTATCCAGTAGGTCATACACTGTTAGAGAACATTGAACCAGCAAAATGTGAATATGATTTTTAAAAATTATGTTTAAACACGGGGACATTGTAAGAATAGAGGTGATGGACCAAGAAAGAGATGTGTCAGATCACTTTACACATCTTTGTCTTCCACAGCTATAGAATGTTTTAAAATAACTGGCTCTCTCTTAGTCAAGAAAGAGACTTCTCCCTCCATAATGTGTCCCATTACTAAAAGTAACACTTTTGGTTTCATCATTAGAAGCAACTTGGAAATGAGCTCCGCAAGTGAGTTTCTTGAGTGTCCTGAGGGTCTGTGATTAAGCATGAAGCATTACAGTGCTTCCTCGCTGATCATGTAATTCCCATGGCCCAAATGAGAGGACCCATGGAAGGCACAGAAGGATACTGAGTTTCTGTGTCCTGGGTTTAGAGAGACTACCAGGGGAGTTACTGGGGTGTGCGCAGAAAAGGGAAATCATCCAGCTGGCAAGCATGTGACACCTGTTATATGGGTACTTGGGGTTAATCTAGTAATGAAATGACTTAAGGGAGTTGTTTCTCCAGTGCTAAAACTCAACCCTCACTCCAGAAGCAGGGTTAGACCCAGGGCTTGAAGTTGCATAGAAGTAGATTTGAGGGTTAAATACAAAGAATGCTCCAGCAATTACAGCCACCAAACGATTATCATGTCCTTGGAATATGTAAGGATTCCAAGACCAGAGATGCTTAAGGAAAAATGAGATATCTGCTTGATACTAGTATTGTAGAGAAGAGGACTGCAGTAGGCAGCATTTGTTTCTATCCTGAAAGTGTATGCTTTAGAAGTTCATGGAGTAGCGCTAGTGCCCAGTTAACTGTGAAAAAAGTTGGTTGATCTGGAATTATTTTGGGTTAAATACTAATTGGACTTCATCTAGTTGGTGCCATTGGTGTCAAATTTCTACTCTTGGAACTGTTTGCACATTAAAGCTTAAACTTACTTGTGAAGTTTGAGAATTATGAGTTGCCCATGGCCTTACTCTCAACTCTTATCAAATAACAGAATTTAGATGGTAAGGGTTACCTTCCATGGGACTTTAGCATAAAATATCATGGTGAGTCTTTTTACCTAAAACCTCTTTGTTATCAGGATTGTCTCCTACTCACTTGAACTTCCATGTTGTGCCTGGTTTCTTCTAGGTTTTTAAGTCATTTATCATTTCCTCATATCCATATTTCATTTCCCAACTGAAGAAACACATTAAGGGATCAGTTGAAAGTCAGAGAAAAGCAAATAACTTCCAAGGAATTGCAGAGTTGTGGAGCTCAATCCTAGTGGATACATCTACAAAAAACAAACAACAACAAAATTTCCATATCTAAGGCTTAGGGAACATTCCAGAAGAGGGATTAGAAAGATTGTAATAGCCAGAAGATCAGGGCGTTTTCTATGAGATTGGGTCTCCTAGTAATGTCTCACCAGTATGAACATGGCTAAACATGCTGAACAAGTAAAACAACAGACATTCCAAAATGGGTTGGGAAAAATAACCACAAGACCAACCCTACACAAAGAGCTACAACTAAGAAATAACTGAGAGCAGGAGATAGAGTCTTCCCCAGGCAAGAGCACACCAATTGGTTATGCAATATCAGATGGTCTACCGTGAAAACATGTACATACAAGTAACATACAGTCTGAAAAGGCTATATTTAGGAATGTATGTGCAATACATATATACATGTAATAATAAATGAAAAAAGAGGCCATAAATTTGAAAGATGTGTATGAGAAGGGTGTATGAAAGGGTTTGAAGGAAAGGAAAGGGAGGGGGAAATGTAATTGTATTATAATCTCAAATAAAAGAAATAATTAAAAAGTATCTTGCAAGGACAAGACAGAATAGAGTTAAGTGATACACTTAAGTGTACTTCAGAGAAAGAAAGGGGTTTCCTTATCTGAAATGCTGAGGATCAGAGTGTTCCAGGTGTAGATTTTTGACAATTTGCATCTATGTAATGGGTTATCTCTGGGCCAAGATCCAAGTCTAAACATGGAATTAATTACTTTAATTCCTCTACACCCTTACACACAACCATTTTATAGAACTTAATACAGCTGTGCCTGCCTTCTGAGTGTGACCTGATACATGAAATCATTGTGTCACTGTGGATTTTTTTCTTTCTGTCTGTCTTTTTTTTTTAACTTATGGCATCTCCATCAATGCTCATAAGAAGTTTTGATTTGGGAGCATTCCTATTTTTGATTTCCAGATTTAGGATACTCAACTTTCACCATCGTATTTTGGTAGTGGTGGGACCTATTGCATTTTATGTGTTCTTATACCCTGTAATTCTTTAAATTACCCACAGTGTTGTAATTGTCATTACAATTATTGCTCAGTCTGAAGTAATTAACACTTTTATTTTTAATTTTTTCTCTTTAGGACTGAAGAAATTGCCTTCAAAAAGTGAAATGATGGAAGAAATAAATAAGGCTCGAGAGGAAATGGAAAAGAGGTAAGAAATTCTCCCAGGAAGACATTTGAATCCTTTCTCTATGCATTTCTCAGTAAGAAGAATATTGTGCCATACTTAGCTTTCGTGTGTAGGTTTAAGGATTTCTATTATACTGTGGTATCAGGGGGAATTACAGCACCTGTGGTTTCCATGTGGATGAGGAAGGAGAGAGAAGCTGATGGAACATGTTTAGGGGCTAAAAGAAGCTGATTAGGAAAAAACACACCAAAGGAACATCAGGTATATTATTTGGTGAGGACTTTTTAAGTCCCTAAGGGGCTCTGGATTTGTCCCTTTCTTTAGCAGCTTGCTCCCCAGGTATCCGTTTTTCTGTTCACTGCAGATGTGTGGTGGAGTTGCTGGGTCCCTGGCTCTCATCCTTTGCCTCCCCCCACCCAAGCCCCTGCACTATAACCCCCTGGGCACCCCTGAAGTTGCTCCCTTGGAAGTTTTCCAAACGCACTTGGGCTCCATCTTCTCACTACTGAGGTTGACACTTTTGAGCATTCCTCCTTCTTGGAGTGTTTTCTCCCCCTGCACAAAACTAATTTATTTCAACTGCCCTGCCCTTATTCCTTTGGCTTAGTAATTTCTATAAAGATCTTCTGGCTGTGTGCAGTCCCCAGGGATGTCCCTTAACCTTTCCTGAGGGCTCATGTTTAGTATTTCATATGCACGGAGATGATTTACTCCTTGTGACAGCCCTGCAAGGTGGCATTGGTAAATTCCTTTTCTTGAAACTTTGTGAATCCTACAGCTCTTATCTCCAACTATAGGTTGAGCGAGCACATGCTAACAAAGTCTGAGCCTCGGGAGCACCCAGGAAGCCAAGTTCCCATGTTCTTTCTTCCCAGTCTCTTCTCTGCTAAATTCAGTCTCATCTCTGTAATTCCTCTGTGGTCATCTGAGAGTCTCATCTCACCAGCTTTACTCAAATTTACTTCCTCCATTTTGAATTCCTTAATCTCCGTTAGCTTGGCTTGGCTTCTTCCTTACTCCCTCTCTGTCTTACTATTCTTTTAACAGTCACCACAGAGCAAAAAGTTGGTTTTCCATTCACTCCCCAGGCCTCCTTTGTTCACATAGATATCATTGTTTATCACATTTCCCCACTGAAAACTTTTAACTCTTTACATCTGCACTTGGTATAACCATCCCATCTATCTCCAGAGGACCAGTTACTCTTGGAGGATGTCATGGTCTCTCAGCTTCTCAAGATTTCCAAATCGACATCATCAGTCCAGAGAAGCCTTATTCTGTGCACCCCGCTAACTCTTGTTCTCATAAAATCACTGAGGATCCCATGCTTAAGGAACCTTGTGGCATTCCATGTCACATAGCATGGCATCCTCTGGATCTGCCAGGCTCGCCTGTCCATCTCCATTCTTGTTTCCCACTGCTGTAGGCAGTACCCAGATCGTCTATACCTTTATTCTGCAGCCATTTCTCCGCCCCTCATTCACTCACGTACTGTTTGCCTCTCCTACAACTCTTGCTCTGTTCTCACGTTAGTTTTATCCCTCAAGCGTGTGTCAGCCATAACTCTCTTAACTACCTCCCCTCTGTGTTGCCATCTCACACCCAACCTAGAATATTCACCTCAAGCCTTATACACCTCTGACCTTCTTGAGTATGGTGTCTGTGCATTATAGGGTACAGTGTCGTTTTCCCCCTGGCACAGCAGCTGCACCTGAATCCACCGCTGTTTCGGCCAGTAGCCACAGTGGCTCTGCAGGTCCTGGCCAAGATTCTCGGGCAGCGGCCAGCTGGGACTTTTCTTTCCCTCCAGATCTGCCTCCTGCTGCTGCCACCAAATGTAGTTTTTAAACCTCCATCATTCCATTTACCAGTAGAGGCTCAGGAGTCACAGGCTAGGGTGAAAACCTGCTAGCCCAGAGAAGTCGGGGAGCTCCTAGTTGGCCTTCCCTCTTCACCTGTGTCTCAGAAAGAGAGTGTCTCTTCCATCACTTCAAACCAAAAAGGACTGCCACACTCAAAGTCCCTTCCTCATATCTCCTGTGCACCTCCATCCATTTTCTGGACTCCTTCTGATGATGATTACTTTCTGTCAGCTAGTTACTGGCCCTACCTCCTGACCCAAGGTTGATTTTAACTACTTAATGCAAACACAAATTCGGGGTTCACAGTGTGATCAAATATTCCCTCAACAGTCCAGTTCATTTCATGAAAGTAACAAATGGCCTATCTATTTTCCACAGTTCATAACAAAATATCAAGCCCATAAATAGGCACTCATAAAACACATGACTGGTTAGTTGACTGGCTGTTTGCTGGAGTTGCTGGTAGCCTGAGGCTTCTGTCTTCTTTGCTCTAGGTATGTGGAAAGCCAGCGTCACACCATCCAGGGAGACTATGTAGACACCATGGAAGAGATTGCAGATTTGGTGGGTGTCAGGCCCAATCTCCTGTCTCTGACCTTCACTGACCCCAAATTAGCATTCCGGTTACTTCTGGGACCCTGTACTCCAGTTCAGTATCGCCTGCAGGGCCCTGGAAAGTGGGCCGGAGCTCGACAAGCCATTCTTACCACAGAAGATCGTATCAGAAAGCCTCTGATGACAAGAGTGGTTGAAAAGGGCGATGCTGGGGCTTCACTAGTGACAACGCGTGCCATCCTGCTAGCTGCTGTTTTCTTTGCTGTAATCCTGGCTTACTTTTAGATGTGACAGTGTCAGTCCTCGGGCTTTCCCTGGGAAGCCTCATCTAACGACATCTCCAGAACCTGACAAGACTGAAGAATCAGCCTCATACGGCTCAGAAATCAGTCTCTGCCTCTTGTCTTTGTCTCTCTGTGTCTGTCCCTGTGTCTCTCTCTCTGTCTCTCTTGTTTTTCCTTCTGAAACCCTAGGTTTTCATTTATCAATTCATCTTCCTTTCTTTCTTGAGCCCCCACTTCTTCCTTCTAGAAATTTCCAGACCATGTCATCTTCATATATCATTAGCAGGGTTCTTTTCATGCTCGACTCTGTTGCATTTCTACTCTTGCACACCTAGACTTCAGTGTGTAATAATACATCTTGAGAAGACTGCTCACACTATCAAACCCATAGTGGCTACAACTTCACCTTGTAAGCAGAGCCAACATGTCTATCTCAGGAACACCTGCAGCAAGAATTAACCATTTAGTGCTGAGGGCTGCAAGTCCAAGGTCAAGGGTGCAGCCAGTGAAGAACTCCTGGCTTCGTGATTATTACAGTGAGGGCGTTGGATGGCAAAACAGAAAGCATGTCCTTAACTAAGTTCTGATATGTGGTGCCTGCTTAATAAATACCCATTGATATCTGTAAATAAGCTGATATCCCTAAGTCAATCTAATAAATGACCGACTCCATGTCCATGGAGCTCTTCTTCTGATACAATTCACTACCTACCAGAAGGCTGATTTTTGTTCTTAATATTATAACCGAATAAGCCCATCTTTAATGTGGGAACTGGGGATTTAAATTCTGGTCCTTTTGCTTTCATGAGCAAGTGCTCTTACTCACCGAGCCATCTCTCTATCTCCGGCTTCTACTTTCTTAAAAAAAAAAGGAAACTACTAGACTGAACTTAGTGGCACATACCTGGAATTCCAGAACTTGGGAGTTCACCGCAAGCTCAAGACCAGCCTACTCTATATAGTGAGTTTCAGGCCAACCAGGGTTGCCTATCGAGAACATGTCTCAAAGGACAACAGCAGCAAAATACAAAACAAGAAAAGAAATTTCTCTTTGGGTTTAAAAGTCATTGAAAGAATTTGCCATCTTCAAATAGGTTGGCTGAAGAATTTGGGGGCTTTGCTTAGCTGTCCTGGCTTGATCCGTGAGTGCCTGTATCAAGATCCAGTAAGACTTTAGCTGAGGAAATAAATGACAGCCAGCTGCTGAGGTGGGATCTGCCTGTGTAATTAGTTGTCCCCTCTCTACCCTCAGAGTCTACACAGTAAGACTCAATGAGGTCATTTATGTCTTAGGTTGGAATTTATTTCTACTGATATATTAACTAGGGGCATTCTGACTAGATGAGTTCTTGTATGCTACAGTGTAGTTCAGAAACACAGGAAATGAACTGTTGGGATATCTTTGGACTATCAGCCCACAAACAGTGACCCAGAGACTTATTATTAATTATGGAAGCTTGTCCTTACCTTAGACTTTTCCCCAACTAGCTCTTATAACTTAATTAACCCCTATTTTTTTAAATCTACATTCTGCCATGTGGCTCAGTTACCTCTTTTTACTATGGCACATCTGACTTTCTCCTAGCTTCCTCCTCCCAGTTTCTTTCTCTGTCTGGAAGCCCCACCTATACCTCCTGCCTAGCTATCGGCTGTCCCACTCTTTTTGTTTGTTTGTTTTAATTATAGAAACACACCTTCACTGAACTCTCTGGGCATAGCCACAGGTCGTGCAAGCAGGGTATCTTCAGAAATAACTGCTGTGTAGTATGTCTCTAAATGAACTGTTGTCAATCATTGAAGGAGGAGATAAGTTTGATCAGCTCAAAGAGCAGCATTAGAATAACGCAAATATGCGTAAGCTGATATGTGAGAATTCAAACTCTTTCCTATTCATACATGTATTTGGACAGCCACCTAACATTTCACCTCCTGTACCTCCTGTGAACTTAAGCACTGTGCCCTGGTATGGTTCCTGGGATCTTTTTCCTTCCCTAATCCTTTTGAAACTGTTTCTCATTATTAAAACGGATCTGGGAGTTTTTTAAGTTGAAGATTGCTTTTCTTTAAGAATAAATTGAAGCTCTGATCTAAACTTTTCTTCTTCTGCCATGTAAAATGCCTCTGTTTTAGACCGTAAAGACATTGAAGTTGAACCTCCAGGAATGCCATCTCTCTTTAGCAGCAGTAACACAGCAGGCTTCTTTGGAAGCCTGCAATTTTAAATTGATCTGACTGTTTTGTTCCACTTAGAATGTGTAAAACTACAAAAACATCATTGATTTCTAAACCAAACTGAAGGGGGGACCAGATTAGGAGACTGAACTTAAAACAACTGAGGATACAAAGTGTAGTTACTGATGAACATTTACAGATTCATCAGTTTGCACATTCTGCTCTTCTGGCCATATTAAAAAAATTACACCAGTTTCCCAACTATGATAAATCTGATTACCCAAAAGATGTATTCTTGTAACACCACAGAATAAAGAAGTGGCCAAAAAGAAATGGACAGCACATGTCAAAGGGGCATAGAATCCATTGCAAAGTGGCTCCGATGGCCAAATTGGAAAAAAATGTATTGGAGCAATAAATAACCTAGTATTGGATTATAACATGAACCATAAAGATACCTGAGTCCATACTGTTGTAAATAAATGATTGAAAACATTAGTGGGATGGGATGGATAAAGCTCCCACACAGAATTCCAAATAACTAATGTGTTTTCCCCTCAAGGAAATGAAGCAAAACTCTCTTAAATGTACTGAATAGATTAACATCCTTCAGAATCCAGGTTTGGGAGGGAGTGAGGGATAACTGCAAAGGAGAAAGCAGACAAGTCACCTGAGCTAGGTGGTCCCTGCCAAAATAAGCCGTGACAATCATATGACATGACTGCTGTGGTGTGCCTCCTTCATGCGATAGCCCAGGCCACACATGAGAAAAGTACTAGGCAGCCTCAGGATGATCTACAAATCCCTTACTACCTTAGAAATCTTCTAACTCCTCACACACACACACACACACACACACACACACACACACACACACCACACACCACACACCACACACGCCACACACACACACACACACAGCCTAGTATACAGAGCCTTGAGGGTTGAAGAATTCATACTGAGAATCCTGAAATAGAAAAAGAGACATTAAGTCAAAATTAAAGGACTATTAATAAATATATACTCTGGCTAAAAATGCTGTATCAATATTGGTGTTAAATTGGCAAAAGCACCACAGTGACATGTTCCATGAAGAAAACTGGGCGTGGAGCATCTAAAAACTCCGTGTTGTCTTCACAACTTAAATCTAAAACTATCCTAAAAGTTTTTGGTTTTGTTCAGTTCAGAGTTTCACCTGAACTACAGTATACTAAAATTTTCTCAGAAGAATGTTAGATAGTCAGGTCTAAAGAGAACTCAGTGGTTAAGAACACTTGTTGCTCTTGCAAAGGACCTGGGTTTGGTTCCCAGAATCCACATGGCAATTCACAAGTGTCTGTAACTCCTATTCCAGGGCATCTGCCTCCCCTTCTGGCCCCCATGGGCACTGCATGTGTGTGCACATGCAAGCAAACACTTTTAACACATGAAATTTAAAATATATTTAAAAAAAAAGAATATTGGCTGGGAGCACTTATTCAAATTACTGTTTCTTCAGTTCTGCTCAGATTAAGTTGCTCTAACAAAACATAACTTACTACAACAATTTTGGTTCCTATGACAAAAATACAAATTGTGGTTGGGGGCATTGGTGGTACATGGACAAGACTTCTTAAAAATCACTCAGGTAGGTTGTTCCTCCAGGTTGAGCACACTGAACCGGTAGTTCCCACAAGAAAACTGATGGCTATGAAGAAGAAGTTATACACAAACAAGGTAATTTTATTTACTATTAGCCGTCCTGCCTAACAGCAGCACGGTACATAAACGTCCTCCAGACTGTCTACCTACACCTCCCCAAGGCACCAGACTTCGCACACATTCTCTGCTGTACTGTCTTTAATAAACTGCCCCCCTTTCCAGCTGTAATATTCAATCTTCAAGATTTCAGTTCATCTGTTATCCCTTCTAGGAACAGCTTCCTGACCCTGAACATGACGTAAGTGACCTTTGTGCTCTCATCACATTTGGTATATTCAATTCCTCAGTCACATTTGATGGACGTCCTTATCACAAGACCCAAAGACAATGACTCCTTTACCCCCTACCCCTCTCCTCTTCAGAGACAGATGCCTTGTAACTAATCTGTGCCCCCAGTGCCCAGTGTAGCGCCTGGAGCATAGTGGGGCTCCAGCAAAATAATGATAATTAATTGAATGAACATACTTAACAAGGGAGGCTTTAATAAAGGATGAGTTTCTAAAGGATTAAATAAAATATTGAACAGCACTTTTCTAAAAGGAGAGTAAAGAGTGCTTATCATTTAGAACTGACTTTGGGGCAAACTCTTTGCAGGAAACACACTAGAGTAGACCACTGGTGTGAGTCTGGGTTGTTCTAATGAGCTGTATGGTTTGAAACAGGTGTTGCATACAACTTATTTCCTCAATCAAACGAGCCTTAAATAGTCTGGACCTTAAAATAGAAAGCCTGGCTTATCTCTCTCTCTCTCTCTCTTGACTCTCATGATACCCATGCCTTTGTTGCTATTTATTTATTTATTTATTTATTTATTTATTTATGTATTTATGCTTTCTCCAGTTGGCCAGCTCTTTTGAGGCACCCACTACCTTTTCTATTTGTAATCATTTATTGACCCATTTATTCCCCTTCATTCAGTGAGGACGTCAGTACCCAGCTCAGTGTTTATGGTCTATAGACACAGTTGTTCCTGAAGGTGATTTAATCTATGTAAGTAGTACTTCACCAATCCAGTGTATTATTAACTAGGATTTGTTCCAGCTCAATTTAATACAAAAGCAGTAGACAGCAGTAACCTAACAAGATTGACATTTATTTCCCTCTCATAAAAAAACTGTCTGGAGGTAGACATCTTTTATGAGATGATTTGCTAGCTGCATAGTTTCTTCTATCCCATTGTTTTTAGCTACCTCATGGTTCAAAGTGGCTGCTGGAGCTCTAGCTATTCTGTGAGCATCCTATACACAAGGATAAAGAAATGAAGAAAGACTTAACAGAAGTTCTACATAATATCTCCACCCATCTACGTACTGGGGAGGCTAAGAAGTGCATCTTTGTGGAAATGGACATGTGATGGAGATGGAGGATCAACGCTTTTTAGAGAGGAAAGAAAGGAATGTTAAAGTAGATCCTCTCTTGCCGTGTCCACTGTGCAGCCTGTGTCCGAGGGTGTCGGGGATGGACAACACAGAGACTTGTTCAACGATGTAAAGAAAACTTTAAGCAGGACCCAAAAAGGCTCAAGAAAACTTCCCAAGAAAGGCCTCCCTCCAGAAAAGCTTCTGCTCTCTCTCTACCCCTGGCTGGTTCTGCTCTGACACCAAAAACTGATCTGGGTGTATCAGAAGAGGCGGTTAGTCTTTGGACAAGGTTGAGGTCAGGGCAGTCCCAGTGGGCCAGCCCTTTTCAGGAACTTTTTGCCCCGGGCATTGTATTGTTTTTAGTAAACATTGTCTTACAGCTGCCTACTCCCAGGCTGATGGGGTAGTGGGTCTCTGAACAAGGTCTGGTGTCCCCACACTCTCTGTCATCTCACTTTTCAGTTGTATGACTTTAACATTTGTTCAAATCTATACATGGGTGTCTTGCCTGCATGTTTGTATGTGCATCAAAAGATGTCAGATCACCCCAAAGGATGGTTGTGAGCCACTCTGTCAGTGCTGGGAACCAAATGCGGGTCTTCTGAAGGAACCAGTGCTCTTAACCACTCAGCCATCTCTCCAGGCCCTTCTATGATTTTCTTACTCTGATGGCTTCATGGTCTACTTCACTTCACTTCACCAAATCACACCCTTGATCTTGTCCAAGGTACTGCCAGTGCTAATAACTGCAAGGCCCCCGAAATCTCGGTGGCAGGCATCCTACTCTCCAAAGCCACTTATTATCTTCTCTGCTCACTCCGATAACCCAATGCCCATCAATCTTAGACTCCATTGGGCCCTCCATCAGCCTGCTTTGCCTTCCCTTTCTAGCCTACTGGTCTCCAGTTGCTGGTCCAACCGTATATTCCCAGTCTACCACGCGCTCCCAACTCCTCTGTTGCCTCCTTGGCCAAACTTCATCACGAGCTGAATGCATGCATCGACACAGCTAATCACAGTAAGAGAAAACACCACTATGAGTCGGACACCGCATATAAGTAAGCCTTCTGCAGCACCTGCCAGTCACACTTCATGCGTCTAGTCAATTCTCTGTTCCACTCTTCATTTCATTACTTCCTGGGACAATTAAAAAGAGGTTGCTCGGTAGAGCTGTAAGCGGAATATGAAAACCATTCGAATGTGGAACCGCTCTCTACCGCTGACGTGCAGTTTGATGTGATCTTGTTAGAGTGCATTCTAATTCTGTACCTAGAGCATGAGACCTCGGATTCGGCTTTTCTAACGAGCCCGGGTCCCATGGCTAGACAAATTGCTTCGGGAGACGTAGCTCCGGAAGCGTCTAAACGGCTATCCAGATACTAGCGCCCACCACGCGAGAGCCTGGCCCCAACGCCGACCCCACCCTCCGCCCCGCCCTAAACTGGAGGTACGCACGCATTCACCACAGAGGCGGCCGGCGACGGTGGCTAGAGCGGCAGGCGACTAGGGCTGGAGAGGGGGCGGGGCTGGCACGCAGGGGGCGGGACAAGAGGCCCGGTAGGCGGGGCCAGGGACAGAGGCGGGTCCGCGTCGCGAGCCTTGTAGCCATTTTAGGAGGAAACCTCCCGTGCCGCTGCCTTGGGGAGCGGCTTCAATTTCAATAACTTTATTGGTCTCTCTCTGTACGCCGAGCAGCCGGCGTGCGTGCGGCCCCGCGATCCCGGAGCGCATCGCCCGAGGTGAGCGGCGCGAGGCTGTGCGGGGCCGGGGCTGCGGGGCAGAGGTGGCTCCCGGGCGGGTTCCCCCGCTGAGGCGTCCCCGAAGTGGACAAGGGAGGGGACCCCGGGCGCGGCCTCCTGCGGCGGGGATTCCCTTTCCCGGGCGCAGGGGCGGGGCCGGGACGCCCCTGACGCGGCCGCGGGGGTGTTCCCAGCCCGGTGTCGTTCCCCGCGGCAGGTTGCCCCCGACTCGAGCTGCAGCCATGGGAAACACCACCAGCGAGCGGGTGTCCGGGGAGCGCCACGGTGCCAAGGCTGCGCGAGCCGAGGGCGGCGGCCATGGCCCGGGCAAGGAGCACAAGATCATGGTGGGGAGCACTGACGACCCCAGCGTCTTCAGCCTGCCCGACTCCAAGGTGAGGTAACGGGGCTGCTGGCTGCTTCTCCCTTCTTGGTTCTTCCTCCCCACTCCCAAAGGTTACGGGTTTATTTTTTATTATTATTATTTTTTAGTTGGAGGGCTTTCCCGCGGACAGGGATGTTGAGTACTGATGCCTCCTAGGCACTACCTCCAATTAGGATAGAGGCGCGGAGTTGTTTTCCAGCTGTTCTGACTGATCTGTGGGCCATACTTTCAGGACTGGTACCAGAGAGACGTCCCCTGCCCGCCCCATCCTTGGTTCTACGTGCAAGCTGCCTTCTTGTGGAGCTTGCAGGACGGTATAGGTTGTGAGCGAGGGGGGAAACTTAAGAGGATACCTTGTTTGAGCTGCTGATTCGGGCTCCGTTTCTCACGTTGGCCTCAAGATATTTAAATGAATTTCTTTTCCCTGAAAATGTCTTTGTGTAGATATCATTTTTGCTCGCTCTCCGGTGCCCTGCGCCCCCTCTTCGATCTCGTCCCCCCTTTGTGTGGCTCTCACTTGGTTACTTGAAGTCTTTCGCCTCGTCTTGATCAGTACAGTGCATCATTTGGATAATGGCTTCAGTTTTTCTTTTTTCTTTTTTTATAAGCGTGGCGATTGTGCTTGTGCTTTTTGCACACCTGGCTGTGCCTTGCGGGAGAGCAAGTTACTTCCCTTCACCCCCCAATAGGGCTTCAAAATATATCCTGAGGCTCAAAACCACCCACAACTGCCCAAAGACTTTGCCACCAATTCCAAGGACTTCCAGCCAAAGGCCCATTTTCATTCACCCAAAAGAAGAGGCAGATGGAGCTGACAGCAGTATGATCGCTACCCTAATGTTCCTAATCACTTCTAGAAATGTCAGCATTAAATACATTCCGTTTCTCAAGCTGGCTGTCGGGTTGGAGAGGAGAGGGTTGTTCTTGACGCTTATTTATCCTTTCCCAGTGCACCAAGGCGTAGGATAGTAAATAGAGTTTCACTTACCTCTTTGACCATGCATGAAATCGGGACTACACGGCTTGTTTTCTTGGGTCCTGGTTGAGGACCCCGTAAGGGAAGTGAGAGGTATTGAGATGTGCGTTTCTTGGGGTTCCCTCTTTGTCCCCTCTTTCCCACTTTAGGACTTCTTCCTCATCGTCGGGGCTCTGTGCTCAGCCTGGATTTTCTTCTCCAAAGCTTACCCAGGGTGACAGGCCATGTATTTTTTGCTCATTCCTACATGGATGACTCAGGATTTGGGTACATTCTAACTGTGACTTCAGTAATTGGTGTCCTGAATAGGAGCCAGGTTGCTCTGTGTGAATTCGGGCCTGTTTTGGAACATTCTTGCTATTTGTGAAATGAGAAAAGTAGTTCCAACAATTCTGCCATCTCATGAAGATGAAAAACTTTATAGTTCACCTACCCATCCCCCTCTGATTTTCCTTAATCATCTTCAGACTGTAATTTGAATTGCGGATTTGCTGCTGTTGCTGGTAGTTTTGCTGATGGTTCAACTCCAGTAAACAGTCTTGCTGCATTCGCTGCTACTACAGAAATGTCATGTCATAAGTGGAAGGGCTCTGCTCCAAAGCCAGGCGTATTAATAGTGTAGAGCTTTCAAATCCTGAGCTGAAAATCCTTGGTCATAAAAGAAGCTGATAGAGACAGTGGGGTGGGTGGGGGGCATCTTTGCTCTAAAGGTCAGGCTTTTTAGTAGACTCACTCAGAGCTTCTCAGTCCTCTTTGTACATTAGGATTCCCCCAAGATTGCTTTTAAAACCTTACGGGAAATCTGACACATTTATAAACTGGAACAGTGTAATGAACCGTGTATATAATGAACTGTGATATAATGAACCGTGTATATGCCACCCGGTTGAAATCTGAAAGGTCACGGATGAGTGACTTTCTGTGCTCCAAGCCACTCTCCCACCCGCAACTCTGAAACAGATGCCAACCAGTAGAATTTCTAACATTTTAGGGTATACCTCAAAAGGTGATCGTTTTTTAAAGCTGACATGATAGTGGCTCATGCAGCTGTTCAGAGACCGAGGCAGGAGGATCACTGCCAATCTACAGTGAGAATTTGACCTCCTAGGAAACAAAACAAAACATGTTTTCCTTGTTTATTGTAATATAAGTACAATATAATTATCTGAAAGCTTTTAAAAAATGTGTTCCCAGGTTCTGTTTGGGAATTAGGATCTGGGGGTTGTTCCTAGGCTTTTGTAAACATGCCTAATGCAGCTGTCAGCCCCCAGTGCATGGCTCCGAGACTGTGGAGCCAAAGCTTTGGCTTAGCCCAGTCTCCTGAATAATGTAAAAGTACCTCCATGTTCTTTCTCCATTTACTTTGGTTTGTACTTGTACAGTGGTTTTCAGAACTATTGGGAGACAGAATGGAAGATAAATTTTTTCATTTTAGAAAAAGCAGGGAAAAGCCCAAATAAGCTAGTCTTTTCTTTCTCTAACCTTCACTGTCTTGTGTGTAATGTTTGACTTGATGCCATACTATCTTATTCCAGTCACTGAAGCCAATGAAAGTAGGGACTTATCAAACTGTCAAAGACCAAATAATAAATAATTTAGACTCTGTGTGTCACAGCTCTGCAAGTCTACCACCCACTGGAAAGTTGTAGATGGTAGGTAAACAAGTGAGGGCCTGTTTCCAAACAGAAACTTTGTAAAAAGCTGTCTGGCTCACTGGCTACAGTTTACCCATGCTTTTCTTGAAGGATGGCAATGGAAAGAAACTAAGGAACTCATGAACTCCGTTTAGTAATGGATCTGCTTTTGCTCAAGGAAGCTGCTGTTGATCCTGTGCTCACAGAGCTCCAGAATGTCAACCATCATCTTGGGGCAATTGTATATACCCAGCCTTAGTTAACAACTAAGGTCTCATAACCTTTTCAACCACACCGAATTGGTGATCTGGCTTTGGAATTTGTGTCAATTGATGGATGATGGTGCTGGAGATGAAACTCTCAGCCTCATGGTTGGTAGGAAAGTGCTCTACCCAGAACTGTATCTCCACCCTTAAATACTTAATGTTCTGTTGTATAACCTAGTAGCTAAAACAGCATCGTTAACTACTTAGGAAGTTTGGTATCTATAACTTTAATAGCAGTTGACAATCTGAGACCTGTTTGCCTCTGAAAAAATGTATCTGGCTTGATTTTCTCTTAAAGAACCATACTTGGCTTTCTTACATTGTTTTTTTTTTTCTCTTAAGAGGCCCTCAGAAGTATATCTTAATTGCCTGCACACAAGTGAGATTGGAGGAAGGGTTTGGAGGGTTTTGTTTGTTTGTTTGAGGGTGATCCAGAGGTTCTGCAAGGAAAATGATGTACGTACACTGGGCAGTAGGTTGTGATTTAGGCAATGCTGGAATATAAGCCATTTGGCCATTTTAGACCCTATATTAGTTTTTTTCTGTAGTTTGTTAAAACTCTTGATTTAATTGCTGAATTTAGGGTAGCTATCTTTAGTTGAAACCTAGAACCTTTAATACCCCTGGGAAACTTACCTCTTAAAAAACCTTGGGTCATAATTTATTCTAGGGATGACCTACTCCTTCTTACAGCTCCCTGGGGATAAAGAGTTTGTACCCTGGCAGCAGGACTTGGATGATTCTGTGAAGCCCACTCAGCAGGCCCGGCCCACCGTTATCCGCTGGTCTGAAGGGGGCAAGGAGGTCTTCATCTCTGGGTCCTTCAACAATTGGAGCACCAAGATTCCACTGATTAAGAGGTGAGGACATGTGTCTCCGCTGAATCTACAGAGTGCAGGAGTAGACACCTGATTGCCTTTCTCAGGGGAGAAAGTAGGCCTCTGGAGAGTCTCTAACAGCATTGTGGGTGCATTCTTCAGGACCGTGCTTCTCAAGTCATTTCTTGTCCGGAGGAAGTCTGCAACTAGCTAATTCCTGTTACTTTGATTTCAGTATTAAAGCAAATGCATTATGACATTCTAAGTATATGCCAGTTCAGTGAATGATTTATGTGGTTGTGAGAGTGACCTTTTATGTACTAGGTCATTTTCCAGAAAAGGCTCAGCAGAGTATGAAAAGAGTATTCTGAAATATTACCTTTTACCTTTTTTGTATTTGTGAGGACTCTGTTCTGTGTGTGTGTGTGTGTGTGTGTGTGTGTGTGTGTGTGTGTGTACATGTATATGTGATACATGTACATGCAGTCAAGTGTGCCCATGTATGTGCATGTGGAGGCCACAGCAACAGCTGAGTATCTTCCTCTGTGGCTTCTAACCTTGTTGACTTGAGACAAGCTCACTGAACCAGAGTTTCTCCATTTCAGCTAGCTTTACTGGCAGCAGTTTCTCCAGGTCTGCTGTCTCTGCTCCCCAAGCTGGAGTTACAGGCACATATAGCCAAGTCCAGCTTTTGATATGGATACTGAGGATTCAAACTCAGGTCCTCAAGCTCTTGAGCACTTCCTGACTGAGCCCATCTCCCCAGCCCCAAGATTCTGTCCTGCTGGAACAAAACAGTTTACTAAGATAAAACATTTTGGCAATCAATCCTCCGACCCCAACACCAACTCCACCCCCACCCCACACCCATACCCCCATGCGAGTGAGCACACAGATTGGTTAAGAATGAAGTTATTGGGAGAGGTTGACAAGTGAGGCTTGAGTGATACAGAAAAAGAGGATGGATTTATTCTTAGCAGGGGGTTGAGGGGTTAGGGCCACAAGGTCTGTAGTAGCTTAGGAATATAGAAGGTGATTGCTATGGTGCCATCATTGCCCCTTTCTCCACTCTGTCTTCTTTAAAGAACTTGACCTGTTTGACCTTCTGTTTTCTTCCCTAGTCATAATGACTTTGTTGCCATCCTGGATCTTCCAGAGGGAGAGCACCAGTACAAGTTCTTTGTAGACGGACAGTGGGTTCATGATCCATCAGAGGTAAGCCTTGATTTGCAGGGGAGCCTCAGTGGCCTTACCATGACTTACTGCCCTCTGGGTTCAGTAGGAAACAACCCTCCGTAGAGTCCTAAAAGTAGAGGGGAGGTTGGGTGAATAAGATGGGTTTGAAAAGGGAATTCAATCATTTTTTTTTATTCACTGTTTCAGCCTGTGGTTACCAGTCAGCTTGGCACAATTAATAATTTGATCCATGTCAAGAAATCTGATTTTGAAGTATTTGATGCTTTAAAGTTAGATTCCATGGAAAGCTCTGAGACATCTTGTCGAGGTAATTTTGCACTATTGCTTTCTCTTTCTCTGACTTTCTTACAATGCATATTTCTTCCCAAAGTGGTTTCTTGTTTTATTTTGTATTTTCATGTCTTCTCAGGAATCTTATAATCACTTACTCCATATACCCCACTGGAACACAAATCCCCCAGTATAATATCGGCCTTTCTTACTCTGATACACTGTTTTCCATTTTGCTTTTATATAACCCACCTGTAGCTTGTGGTTTCGAAAGTTGTTTCCAGTAAGATTTCACACTTTCCATTAGCATCTGGTGATATTACCTGTAAAGACTGGCTACGCCTTCTAACCTGAATCAGCTGGTTTGAGAGCTCAGCTGACAATTATGGTTTTAGGAGAGCCTACAAGTATGGTTGTTGCTGAGGGAGAGAGAGAAAAAAGGAGAGAAAGAAACAAACCAATAGTTGGTCTCCATGGAATTGAATATACAGGGTGCAAGTCCTGTATACTTTTGTTTCGTGTAATACCGCTTTCCCCAAGGTCTTTATGTCTGTGCTTGTTCAGTCTCGTAGAGAGGCACGTTTTGCAAGCCATATCCATAGTTACTATCTCATTACTGTATGATGGAGTTGTGCCTGCCCAGAAAATTACACACTTTCTGCACTGAGCATATGGCCTCTTTCATACAAAGCCTGCCTCTGCTGCTTGTCACACCATTGTGCAAGCAGCTCCCAACAGGACTTGGACCCTCAGTGATCCTCTGTCATAATGCCTAAAATAGAGCACATAGCAGAATCTCCAGAACAAGGGACTAATTGTCCATAGCATAGTAACTACCAATTTAGACAAAAATTGTTTTCAGTATATAAACTCAGAAAGTTACGGTGAGCATTCTTATTGGCTGGAGGGGTGGTGATCTTAAACAGTTTAAATTCTGAGGCCACTAGGACTGTGATTATATTATGATCTGCAAAGTAACCAAAGAATATTTGACAGTCATAATTATGTAATGGGAAGACTAGCACACTTTTGGGTTCACCCAATTTCCTAATCCAGTGATGTAAGGCATAGAATCCATTTATTGGGAATATACAGATAATGGTTGTGTCATGTGCATGACTTTTCAATGTCCAATTTGGGTTTTTTAGCATAATGGACAGCACGAGAAAATTGGCCTGTGTTATTTCCCAATGGTGTTTTGTGGATATTTAATACAACATTGTTGCTACTTCTTTCCTGAAGCAAATTTGAGTTATTAAAATAGACTTACTAAAATCTTTTCTTTGGAATTTAAAAATTTTAAAACATAGTTCATTTAATGTTTGTAGATTTAACCTGAATGCTTTTCATTTTTAAGTAGAATTCCAGTACACATCTTTTTTAATTGTAAAATGTATTTTTTTTTTTTTAGTATAGTGAGTTTTAAAACCCATCTCTTTCTCCTCTCTGCCCTGTGTCTGCCGTATGGATTTGCCTGTTCTGGACAGTTGATACAAATATAACTGTGCACCATGTGGCTTCTTTCACTTCTCGGGCTTCTGGGGTTTTCGTTGGTGTTGAAACATGCACCAGTGTTTTGCTTCTGTTTGCTGAATAGAAGCCCACTGTATGGCAGTTCCTTCTTGCTTGTTCATTCCTTGTTGACCTTTGTGTCCTCCTTGCAGCTCATAGAAGTTTTGCTTAAGAACACTCAAGGTCAGGCTTTTTTTGGGGGGGGTGGCGGGGAGCTTATGTTTTATCTTAGGTGATAAACCCAGTAATGTGATTACTGGGTCACAAAGCTTAACTGTTTGAGGATGGCCATACTGTTTTCCAAAGTGGCTGTACTATTGTTCATTTCTACCAGTGGCGGGAAAGCTGTAGTTTGAAGCTTCCGGTTTCTCCACGTGGTTGCCAGTACTTGCCATTTCAGTGGCAGCCATCCCACTGAGTATGAAGTGGGATTTTATTATGGCTCCCGTCTGCACTTCCTTGACTACAGCTACAGTGTGTTCTGTCTGCTGGAATCATTGTAGACTTAGAATGTATAACATTGTTGTCTGTTTCTTTGGTAGAAATAAAATGAAATCTAATCTTTTTACACTGAGTTCACAGAGCATCTTCGTTTCTACTCTGACTTTGATTTTCTCAGAAGCATTGTGAATTGGAAGGTTTTTATCTTGTGGGTGAGGAAACTGACCATAATAAAGGGGTCTGCCCAAGGTCACATGGCTGACGAATGGAGTTGGGTTCCTGGAGCCTAGGTGCTGGCCTCTCATCACTTCCTACATCATATTGCCTTGTTGGGAATCTTCCTGCCCCATGTTCAGGACAACTCAGACATTTCCTTTGCTCCCTTACAGTTACAGGCCAGTAGGTCAGAAGGCTGTTGCTCCAGGACCTATACTGCATTTAAGATTAATGACTTTGTCAATAGCTTTCCCCCTGCATGATTTCTAATCCTTCAACTTTCCTTCGTGTTTGCATGAATATTTTTCAGACCTATCCAGCTCACCCCCAGGGCCTTATGGTCAAGAGATGTATGTGTTTCGATCTGAGGAGAGATTCAAATCCCCACCCATCCTGCCCCCTCACCTACTCCAAGTTATTCTTAACAAGGACACTAATATTTCAGTGAGTATCCTGAGCAGGTTGCTGAAGTGTCTGGGGATCTTAGGCCAAACTTCTGGAATCTTGGGGCTGGAATCAGGACCCAGCTTTGTCAGGGTAATAAAATAAGCCATGTGCATGTCAGCAGCACTGTGGAACCCTTTTCCCAAGACTGAACTGTGACCTCTTTAGGTACCAATAGCAGAATTTATAGTTGTTTCTGTTTCTAGTAAAATCAGAACCAGACTATGCTGGAATCAATGTCTACTGTGACTTCTATTCTATCCCAAGACAAGAGTACCCTCACTAGGGAGTGCACAAAACTTCACAACTTTTTATATAAATAAATTTTATCTCTGTCTTACTTTATTGATAGTTGATTCCCAGGAATATTATTTCTGCCCTTTCACCCAAACCATCTATACTTGTTAGCAAGATTTTTGTTTTAATTCTATTAAGGAAAGTTAGCAGATGTTGGGGCTTAGCATTTCACCCTTAGACTTAGGATTTTTCCAGATTTTATGATCTGGGAATGCATGATTCATAGGAGACAAAGTGTTACCTATTTAGAGTTCTTAACAGTCCAGAGGAACAGTAAACTTGGTTTTGCCCACATTTAATCGCATTTGCCGGGGGTGGGGGCTGTTTTTCCTCCTAGTGTGACCCAGCCTTACTTCCTGAACCCAACCATGTTATGCTGAACCATCTCTATGCGCTGTCCATTAAGGTAAGTGGTGGCCCCGACGTTCCACAGCCTCCCGAGTGGAAGGGTAAGAGCCACGCATGCTTGCTTTTCAGTGGTAACTTGCTTGCTGTGACTTTTAAAGCTGCAGTTGACACTGACAGTCAAGTTACAGAAGAGCTGTCTTTTCTTACCTTGAAGGCTGTGTGATTTTAAACTTCAGTCTCCTTTGACACTCCCCGAGACAGGGTTTCTCTGTGTAATAGCTCTGGCTGTCCTGGAGCTTGCTTCGTAGATCAGACTGGTCTTGAAGTCACTGAGATTCACCTGAGTCTGCCTCTCAAGTATTGGGATTAAAGGTGTGGGCCACCTCTGCCCCTTTTGTTTGGGATCTGGGCTGTGTTCAGGCTGCTGAGCTGTCAGTGATGGGGACCTTTCTGCCTCCCGTTGTCTGGGGGTGGCTGGATCCTTTGCACCGCCTGTTTACTTAAGTTGGAGTTCATGGTAGTTGGATTCCATGTGCAGAAAACCAGGTATAGCTTCCTTCAACAAGTGCTTGAGCGAGACAGCAGGACTTCCTAAGATGTGGGAGCAGCTGCAATGAGATGTTCTACTTGTGTATACCAAGTGTTTCCATCTCTTGTTAGTATAAGGAGTCGGTGTGACCAGACGTCTGTGTCTTTCCCACCCTGCCCTCGAGTCCTGAGTTTCTCTGTTCCTTTAGTGTCTTTGTGGCTTGAATGTTAGCATAAAGGTATGTAGTTCTGTGGCTGGCTAAGCCGGTCCTCGGGGGAACTGCATGGAGCTGTTGGTAAGCAGCAGATTGAGAGGTCTCCCTGAGTCTGACTATGTGCGGGCACCTGGGGACCTCCCAGCCGTTTCTCTGGAAGCTGCTCAGGTTTCTTAGATGTGCGATGAGAACGGAACAGGGAGGCCACTGATAGAGCTGACTTTAATAGAGTGTGTGGGTGTATATAAAATTTTAACATACTGAATTCCATTTTCATAGTGACTTTGGGAAGTAAGTATTATTTTTAACCCCTGTCTTATAGATAAAGAAACTAAGATTCAGAGAAGGTCAGATTGCCAGTAAGTATAAGACAGACTGTGTTTCAATCCTCTTAACCCCTCCCCCTGCTCTTTCCTGTCCGTCACCACGAAGGTCTTCTCCAGGATGCTGGTCTTTCACCTGCTCCAAATCTGCAGCTCTCATGGAGCAGACTTCCCCTGCCTGTCAGACTGTGTCTCAGCACAGTCCAGCCAGAGTGTTGGTCCCGGACACGGTCCTTGTAGGTAATGCAGGGTGAAGGAAGGCAGCTAGCTTCACTGGTCTCTATGTTGGACATTTGGGGTTCTTTGAGATCTGGTTGAGTTTTGCCTCCTGTGACTGCTCTGTGGCTGTTAGTTGGTGTCCCTGGTCATCTCTTGTGTGGCACACCCGTGCTCATACATCCTGGAAGTTGGTGTCCCTGGTCATCTCTTGTGTGGCACACCCGTGCTCATACGTCCTGGAAGTTGGTGTCCCTGGTCATCTCTTGTGTGGCACACCCGTGCTCTCATATATCCTGGAAGTTGGTGCTTGTACTTCCTTGTAGCTTGTGATCCAAGGTACAGTGCTGCTTGTTCTGCTCCTCTTGGGTTCTCAGCTTGTTTGGCCATTGGGAATTGACCTATCAGATGGGCTGTCTCTGGAAGCTTCCGTACTTTAAGGATAGGTAGGAACTCCCACAGTGCTCTCCAGATCACAGAGGGCAGACTTTTGGAGTTCATCCTTGGTGTTAAGTGGCAGTTGAACCTGCTTCAGGCCTTAGGAATGAGCGTTGAGAAGAATCATTTTCCTTTCTTACTACATTTAATATTTTGTTTTGGGAATGGTTAACAGCACCTTTTTTCCTTGCTAGGCATAGGCCTAATATTGTAATTTGAAATGAGAAAAGGGATAATAAAATTGTAAATTAGTGTTTCTTCATGACCTTTTGTGTATCAGATACTTCAGTGATCTTGTAATCAGAACCACTTTAAGGGGAGCTATTATCCTTTGTATGAGGAAGTTTTAAAGGGGACGGCGGGACATAAGACCATATATAGACTCCTCAAGGCTTCCAACAAGTACCACAACAGGAGTCTGGACTGGAACTGAATAAGATTTAACAGCAAAGCCAGCCTCTTTCTTTTGTTTCAGACTGTCTATTGATAAGTAAATGTGTTAGTTAGTTGAAAAAATTTATAACAACCTGAGGTGTGAGTCTGAGTATACTTATGGGGAATTATTGAATGCATTAATTGGTATATGAAGATCTATCTTAATTGTGGGCAGGCCATTCGTTGGGCAGGGTGTCCTCAGCTGGGTAAAGCGGGAGAAAGCATGCTTAACACCAACGTGCAATGTGTCAGCTGCTTCAATTTCCTGATACCTTGGTTTCCCTGGTGTGATGGGCTACAGTCCGGAGCTGTGAGCAAAATAACCCTTTCCTCCATTAAATTGCTTTAACTGGAGTATTTGAGCAAGACAGTGAGTCTGTGAAAGACTGATGGCTGGGAAGACCCAGCAGCCACCCAAATAATGAACTAGCTGTCTGTGCTTTTCTCCCCTGCAGGACAGTGTGATGGTCCTTAGCGCAACCCATCGCTACAAGAAGAAGTATGTCACCACGCTGCTCTATAAGCCCATTTGAAGAGGACATCACTCGTTGCCTCCAAGGATTCTGGAGAAGCATCTCCCTTGCCTTTGAACTGACCCGGTCTCCTCTGAGACTGGAAGGCTGATTTGTGTTGAGGCTGATCTGTGTGTTTCAGAGCCTCTGAGTAGGGGGCTCTGCTTTTGCATTTGATTGCAGATGAGAGCTTTATGAGTTCATGGAGTTTATTTTAAGACAACCAAAACCATATATGTGCATATGAGGGGAAGGTTACTGGAAACCTCCCAGCCCAGCTGTCTAGGTTCTCTGCCTGTGGGTAGTCGCCAGGGCCTGAGAGGGAGGCTGCGGCCGCAGGAATGAGTATACCAGAAGCTTCTTTTCCTAAAGTGAAAGAATAGCGAACTCCTAGGATCCTTGTCAGGCAGAGATCCTGCCACTGCTCCCTGGAGTCAAAGGGTCAGCAGAGTGCCAGGCTGCTGCCCTGCTCCGGCTGCCTCATTGCAGGGTGGCTTTCCTTGCATGGATTGATTCTCTATTTCATGGTGTGACACAGTCTGCTGTGTTTTTATATGACACTAGATGCCCATCAAGAGCCCTCCTCATTTTATGTACCCTGTTTAATAGTTTCCCTCGGATCTCACACATGACCCAGTAAGGTGAGAAATGCCCTTGCAAAGTTGTGTGTGGGATTAGACTCACCTTGGAGACTGGAGGTGCCATGGGCTCAGTGCACTCTACTACAACTTGTTTTAACGTCTGAAGAAAATCAGTGGCTCAGTATTCAGAGAAATGCCCTGTCTTTGTGTTTCAGTCTGGCCCTGTGAATTGATTGGCTGTGTGGTACATGCTAACGGGCTTCCACCGGGCTTGGCCCTGTTTCCCGCTGTTCTTCATCAGAGCGGGCGGTTTGTCGTGTGGAATTAGGGAGCCTTCCGTATCTTTCATCCCTGAAAGAGCTTTATGTGCCTGTGTTTGTCTTTAATTAAGAAAAGAATGCATCAGTTTTAGGTGGAGCTATTAAAGCAGCTCGGGCTTCTGACCGGCTGTTAGGTTCTTCTCCAGTCTAGAGGGTTCCACAGTCTTGCGTTAGCATGGCCAGCTACTTTTTTACCCATTAATTACCCAAGTACTCCTTTAGACCTGAGTTCATGCAGGCTCATAGATGCACATTCTAGATTTCCCTTTAAAGATGTGTGAGGTAAGAAACTACCCCTGCTGTTTCTCACCATGTACTGTACTGCTCTTTGCACCAAGTATTAACAAGATGGGTTTTCTCTTGCCTCTTTTAAAAATGTTTGACAGTGTAGTGGGTCACTGGTTACCACTGACTAAAAAGTATTTAACCCACTCAGGATTCAAGAAAATATTTTCTCCAAGTATTTTGACACTTCCGTTTTACAGATAAATGCAAGTCAAGCATTAAATGCTGTTTATGGTTGAGAGACTTCATGTCTGCTAAGACAAGCCAGCCACATTGAGAGGGACCTGCAGGTCAGTTTTTAGCTACCTCCTGACTTCCCTACATTGGCACAGCCATCCTCTTGAGATCCTGAGACCTCTCTGATTACAAGAGTGAAACAGGAAGGTGTGGGGATGTTTCCCAGAGAATACAGATTTATTAAATGCCTTGGTAGGTAGTTGGTGGGGTGAGTACTGCTTCTGCCATCCCAAGCCACTTCCCTCTTTTGTGGAGAACCTTTACTGTGCAATCAACTTTCTGGATAGTGTGCCATTTTGGAAACTAAGGTCTAATCCTATCATAACCTATTCAGCGGCTCCAGTTCTACTGAAAAGCTGTTGGGTTTTGTTTGGTTTTCCCAGTGCCCATTTAGCAGTGGGCCATGGAGGAGGATTCAGGGTCTCCATTGTTACACAGTGGCTTCTGTTGTATCTGCACTTGCTAACATACGCGATGGGATCATCTGTGTGCTCATGGGTAAGCTTTTGCTCCACAGGTGTAGCAGTAGAAGAATAGGGAAGCTGTCTTCAGTCTCGGGCTGAAGCTCTGTGAATCAGGTGTGGCTGTGGGGACAGAGGGTTTGGGTACTGGTGACCTCCCGATCCTCCTCATCTGGAGCGACAGTCCCTAGTTCTCAGGTCATTCCCAGCCAAACTTGAAATTCTAGCGGTGTGGAAGGAGTGGGGTGAGGGGGGCTGCCTGGTGACTCCAGCACTGCCTCTGTCCTGCTGATACCTGGCCCTGGGGAGCTCTGCCACTGTTGCCAGAGAACAGTTGAAGTAGACAGAGGAAGTCACTGCTTTTCTGTTGGTTACTTTAAGGGACAGCTTGTTTTCTACACTAAAAAGGTGGGTAGAATCTGGAAGTAAGGCAAAACATTTTAGTCTTTTTAAAATTTACTTCTTCACCTATGGGAATTTTGCAGTCAAGTTGGTAGAGAAAAACAGCCCTTACCTCCTAAGGGCTGCCTCTTAAACACCCGTGGTGGAGATGAGGGTTGTGAGGAAACGGGAGGGGTGAGTGAACTGAGGAGCGGCACTAGGAAACGGAAGGATCGAGTAGCTTGGAACTGAAAAACATCCTCTTTAGAAAAAGACAGTTAAAGCCAGACGTAACCTGGTCCTTGGATTTCATTGTCCAGAAGCTTAGCAGCCTGCAAGGTGTCTTCTCTGGGCCCCTACCTGCTCTCTGCCTTTTCTCTGCATTCCGTTTGACTTCGTTTATCAGTGAGACAAGTTCACCAAGGTGTCGAGTCGGTCGTTACCTAAGACACCGGTCTGTGACTTCAGCAGTGTGAAGAACTTTCGTAGTATGGTTATTAGCTTCCTGTCAGCCTAGACTTGAGTAGGATTTAGCCACTGTAGGCAACACCCCTGAAGGACACACCTAGCCTCTTAAGTATGAAGTACAAAAGAAGAATCCGGGTTTCTGAGAGGAACCTTGACCGCTCCTGTTGGCTTTGGTTTCTTGTAGATCTAATGGGTCTTACATATGTCTTTTGAAAAGTGTCAGTATTCCCTGCATGCTGCTTAAGTGATGTGGCGTGGGGGGATGGGGCTTTTAAAACAATATGCAAAAGTTCCTGTGTGTGTGAGTGAGTGAGTGTTTCACTCTGTTCTCAGATACATTGTGCTCGCCTTCTTGTGATTTGGGGCATAAGAGCAGATAAGTATTTTGTTCCTATTATGACTCAGCCTCAACACCAAGACTCCAGTTACTCACGAACAGGAGACCTGGCAGGAGTAAGGTTCTTGTAGAACTCTACAGGTCTAGGTGTTTGTCTGTCCTTCAATGACAGTCACAGCTGGAGACTGAAGAACTAACTTCTGCAGTGAACTTAGTGTTTGGGATAAAAAGCCAAATCTTTTCAATTATAGGAAAGAAGAAAAAAGTTTCAAGTCTGCTGCTTATAGGACCTGCTCCCTCTGGAGTCTCACCTGGACTTGATCTCAGCTGTGTCTCTCACTATTGCTCTGAAGTGAGCAAGCCTCATTAACAGGAAAAATACTTGCTAGTTCCAGCATCAGTTGGAGTTCATTTGAACTGTGTGTATCACAACACTTTTGCATTAAGGTTGGTGTGAAATACTAAACGTTAGAAATTACATAGTCAAGGGACACCTACAGTAAGAGTTGGATCAGTTGTTGACCGTCTTCCCCTCTGAATTTGTCCTAAATTCTGTACAGTGACCTATCTGAGACACATTTGATTGGCAGGCGTTGGTTGTTTACACTCTAGCAGTTGTGAAGCAGGGCTGACTTACTTTGAAGACAGTTACATATGCCTGAGTCTCTTAAACGGTGCTGTTTGTGGCCTTTGATGCTGGCATGCAGAGCTGCTTCAGTATTTCACACTGGACTGTGACATGCCTGAAAACTGTATAATGTAACAAAAATGTGGGCTTGTTTTTTCCATAAAACTGTCTAATAAAAACATTATACAGCAATAATATCTGAGTTATTTGCCGATTATGTCATCAGAAGCCAAGGTATTAGCAGAACCTGAGGAATGTGAATTGTCATGACAAAGCAGAAGCCATCATCGCAGGACACATCTGCCACTTGTCCTTTTTTTTTTCTTTTCTCTATCCCAGGCCTTGCAACTACAGGAATGCAAGGAACTCAAGTATTTGTTTCCAGCATTTTCTACAAACTGACTGCATGTTTAGCTCTTGTTCTGTACTGGATGAACTTAGATCTTAAGCCAATGTTGTCATCCCTGACTGCTCATTCTTGTCCCCCAAAAGAGAATCTAAGCATATTGGTGGCTGTCTGCGGCCTCCAACTTAGGTAAGTGGAAATCTTAGGTGTGGGATTCACACGTGTGATTCTAATAAACGGCTGGGGACCGCTATCCTGAACTCTCTACTTGCCTACTAGATCATGTACTTTGCTGTGAGAATAGATCATATGCTGTAGTCTGATAGCACTGCCTCTGATGTGCTTGTTGAGGGCAATGTGTAGAATACAGTGTTTGCTTCTGTCCATTCATGGAGTTTACATGTATGGGGTCTCTGGATTTTCTTAAAACAACTGACCCCCCCACATACACACACACATACACCCAGCATTGGCTTCTCTGATCTACTAAAGTGAACTTTCTTAAGGAGAAAATGACAATTGGCTTCTCTGATCTACTAAAGTGAACTTTCTTAAGGAGAAAATGACAATGACCAGCATGGGAAGAATGAGGAAGGGACAGCACACAGATATGTGAGGAAAACCTACCCTCAAGAGCGTAGAAAACTACACTAATGAACATGAACTCAACAGTTAACCACAACACATACAGTTCAGAGATGGTCTACAAACTAGACTGCAGGACTCTGCCTCTGAAAGCATGTTCCAAATGTCGTGTCCTGGTCACAGGAACTACATACATGGTTCAAGGATGTTGTTAATTCTTTTTTTGTTCGTTTTTTCAAGACAGGCTTTCTGTAGCTTTGGAGCCTATCATGGAACTCATTCTGTAGACCAGGCTGGCCTCGGACTCACAAGAGATCTGCCTGCCTCTGCCTCCTGAGTGCTGGGATTAAAGGTGTGCGCCACCAACGCCCAGCTTTGTTAGTTCTTTTCTTCCAGAGCTGTTCTTTCATAGTATTACTTTGGACTGGGGAGATGGCTTAGCAGGTTAGGGTGCTTGCTACCCTGTTTGGTGACCTAAATTTGGCCCTCAGAACCTACATGGTGGACGTGGAAAGCCAACTTCTGTTGCTGTCTTCTGATCTCAGCATGCTGTTATGGCAATTCTGAGCCTTGTAAAGTTGCATGTGAGTGTAAGACTGTTTTCTGATTCTGAAAAGAAAAAGTTGGAATTTGATAGGTTGCATTGAATCTGTGTATTACCTTGGAGAGTGTTGGCATCTTGGCAATAATAAATCTTGTTCATGAACATGGGATGTCTTTCCATTTATTTCTATCAGCATCATTTTCTTGGTTCTGTTTTACAGACCTTTTGGCTCATGGGCTCATGTTTTATTCATTTCATGCTATTATAATAGACTTTTATTAATTTTTTATTACTGAAGTATAAAACATTGATTTCTGTTAATGTTCTGTCTTACCATTTTGTTGAATTCATTTACATGTGTTTAATCCTTAAGATTTTCTGTATTTTTGATTACATCATCTATAATAGGTAATTTCATTTCTTTCCAATTTCACTTTTAACTCTATGCATATTCACTTCCTGCTTCCTTTCCCTGTCTTCCTATCCTCTCCTTTAAATATATAGACATATTAGATTTACTTATTATTTATATTTATAGGTATTTTGCCTGCATGTATCTTGAACTGTGTGTGTACCTAGTTCCCACAGAGGTCAGAAGAGGCTGCTGGATCTCTTGAAACTGGTTGTGAGCTGCCATGTGGGTACTGGAGTTGAGCCTAGGTTCTCTTGAAGATCAGCCAGTGCCCCCTCTCATCTTGTGAGACAGGGTTTGACTGTGATGCTCAGCCTGGACTCAAACTGCCAATTCTCTTGCCTCAACTCCCAAGTGGCTAGGATTATAGGCATGCGCCACCATGCATGGATAGCTCCATGCTTTCTTATCCAATGATCTGAGGAATTCTATATAGTCTCTAAGGTTTTCATAAAGCCTCTTCCACCTTCTCTTTCGGAAGAGATGTTCTTGTCCCTTATGTGCCTTTCTACTCTGCTATCATATGCAGACATCACTTACTAAATTCTGATGAAGGTATCTGTTTTCAATAACTTACTTCTTACACATGTGAGGTCCTAAGGAGACCTAGCTGACCTCCAATCCTCTAGTACTTAGGGTAGTGCCAGGAAAGTACTCAGTTAATACTTGTGTGTGTATAAGCCTTTTGTTTAGTACAGGATTCTGTAATTACTTTTCTTACACACGGGGGGGTCTTTTCCTCGGCCTTGAAAAGCTGTTAAGGGACTTCCTTCCACACAGCTTCTTTCACATCACTCCAGTGGTTTCAGGTTCTAAGGAAAGGAGAGGCCCATGCTCTCTGTTGCCTCTTGAGTTGGTGCTTCCCAACAATATTAAGGAGCCAGTCCTGGGGCCATCCTACGGAAATTCTTGGCTATGGCAAACTTGGGTTTCTCTCCCAATCTTTCTGTAGCCCAGGTTACTCCTTAAAGAATTAGATGTTGTAGACATTTATCATTTTCCCCAAAAGCTTTCTTATGTAAAGGTCACCCTCTGCCTCATCCTTTGGCTGTCAGTACTCCATATTGCTTCAAACACCAGGGACTAAGATGTGGTCTTCGCTGTGGTTGCTAATGGACCTGTAACACACATTTCAGGTCATTATGGTCATAGCAGATGCTAGAGGATGAAGGAGGTTGAGGCACAGAACACAAAACAAGGCCAAGGCTCATTGGTCTTACCGTTTAAAAACAACAAAGGCCTGTTAGATGGCTCGATGAATAAAGCCTGAGTAGGTCCTGTTATGATAACGCTTCCCACCAGCCTGGTCCCAGTGTCGCGTCAACCCCAAATAACACACAGAGACTCATTAGTTGCAATGCTGTTGGCCAGTGTCCAGGGCTTCTCATTGGCTAGTTCTGTCTTAAGTATTAACTCATAACTACTATATATATATATATATATTTCGATAAGGTCTTACCCAGAACGCCAGGCTCGTGTGTCCTCTCCTCCTGGCATCATGTGGCAACTTCTCTTTACTACATTTCCCTGAATCCTCCTTATCTCCTAGTCCCACCTATCCTGTTTCCCTATTGGCCAACAGTGCTTTACTTATCAAACCAATAAGACAAACATATACACAGAAGGACTTCCTCCATCACGGTCCATTCCATAGAACTGCATAGTGGAAGAAGAGAACCAACTCCCCAAAATATCTTCTGACTTCCCTACAAGTAGGCCTGTCTGTTGGTTTCATGTCCCTAGTACTCACCAAGTCCCTATTAGTAGAATGTCCAGTAAATGCCTGAGTGAAAGGTCATTACTAATAGCTAATGTTTACTGGCATTTCTTAGTTGGCATTTATTTCTCACCAAACCTACTGGGACCAAGTGGAAGCAATAAAATCATGAATATAGAAAATATTCTCTTGGGCAGTGGTGGCGCACGCCTTTAATCCCAGCCCTCGAGTAGCAGAGACAGGCGGATCTCAGTAAGTTTGAGGCCAGCCTGATCTATAGAGTGAGTTTCTAGACAGCCAAAGTTACAAAAACTGTCTCGAAAAACCAAACCAGAGAGAGGGAGAGGGAGAGAGAGAGAGAGAGAGAGAGAGAGAGAGAGAGAGAGAGAGAGAGAGAGAGAGAGAGAGAGAGAGAAGTAAAGAAACGAAAATAACCTTCATGAAAGGCATTAATCACATCTACCATTTAACTAATGTATAGTACTTGGATGTTCCTCTAAAGTCTTTCAGTCTTGTACAAAATATAAGTTATACATTCAGGCATATCTCTACAGACTTGTGTGTGTGTGTGTGTGTGTGTGTGTGTGTGTGTGTGTGTAAGGAAGATGAAATAGTACCTAGCTTATTGTCTGATACTTTTCATGCTCTAATCCTTGTCCTGGCTGCAGATCTAAGGGCTGGCTGCTCACACCAATATCACATACAATAATGTGTTTTTTGTCATAGGTAGGGTTTGGGGGTTTTATTTTTGCTTAGATTTCATAGATGAACACTGCTACATCACTCTCACTTCCCATTCCCATTCTCGGATGCTGTTTCTTACAACCTTTCTGCTCCCTTTTCTGTGATTTTCAGAAGCCTTATGCATATGGTTTTCTATGCAGATTTTATCAGTTGAGGTTGGGCACCCCACAGTCTCTTATGCTCTGAATTTTCACCAGTTGCAGATCTCTGTAATTGTCTTTATTGTTTGCAAAAAGAAGCTTGTTTGATGAGGGGTGGGTGAAAGCTACACTTGTCTGTGGGTATATGGACAGGTATTTAGAGAACAGTAAGAAATTATATTAGTTTAGGAATCCTAGTCAATGGCCTCTCCAGCCATGAGTAGCTGGCTAGGTTTACAGTACCAGACACGAAGACCCTCCTGTTGAGTGGGCCACACGTCAAGTTAGACAGCTGTTGGTTACCCCCAAGACGTCAGTACCACTATTGCACCAATGGGGACATCCTGCCAGCTCAGTCAGATATTTCCCTCTACTGCTTTCCACCTTATTCTTCAGGCAGGGTCTCAGTGAACCTGGAGCCCCCCCATGGACAAGACTAGCTAACTGGTCAACAAGCCCCAGTGATCCTTCTGTCTTTGCCTCCTTGGTGCTAGAAACACTGGGAGGAAACATGCCTGGGTACTAGAGATCCAAAATCAGGACTTCAGTCTAGTGCAGCTAACACTTTACCGACTAAGCTACCTCTCCAGTCCTCAGTTACTTTTTTTTTTTTTTTTTTTTTTTTTTTTTTTGGTTTTTCGAGACAAGGTTTCTCTGTGGCTTTGGAGGCTGTCCTGGAACTCACTCTGTAGACCAGGCTGGCCTCGAACTCACAGAGATCCGCCTGCCTCTGCCTCCCGAGTGCTGGGATTAAAGGCGTGCGCCACCAACACCCGGCTCCCTCAGTTACTTTTAAAAGTCATGTTTTTTTATTCTATGGAATTTTATATATGAGTATGATATATATTTTTATTATATTCATCCCCAGTGCTCCCAGATCCATCCCCAGCTCTCCACCCTCTCCCAACTTGTCTTTTTTTTTTCTTTTTAATCCCATGGAGTCTAATTCATGCTGCCCGTATACTCATGAGTGTTGGACCATCCGCAGGAGTATGGTAGACCACTGCCCCCCCCCACGAGTCATATCCTTAAAACTGCTCTCCTCTCCTCCAGTAGCTATCAACTGCTGATAGCTTCTCAGATGGGTGGGGACTCAAGGCCTTCCCATTCCATTCTGGAATGTCACCTGCCTTGATCTTGTATGGCCAACTACAGCTGATGTGAGTTCATGGGTCCTGTCATGTAGAGAAGATACTTTTGGTCTGGTCCTCTCTGACCACTGGTTCTTATGATCTTTATGCCTCTCTTCCTTGGGGATCCTGAGTCTTGGGGGGCTGTCATTCTTAAATGTGGGATAACAGGTTCAATCATGAAATTATTAACTCAAGTCCCATTTCTCAAGTACGAGAAGATGAGAAGTAGGAAGGGTTTCTATGGAAGCCCTTTAGCTCCCTAACTAAACCATCTTTCCTGCTCCAACTGGCCATGTGACATTGGAACTTTGTTCCTGTTGTTTTTTAGGGCTCTCTCCTTGGAGAAACTCTTTTTCCCAGGTTAAATTAAATTCTTCCATATATGGAAACAGCTGAGCCATCTTTCATATTTTCTTAGTTTCTTCCTTCCTCTTTGTAACCACAACACATGAATCTACCTATTTATTCTCTTAAGTCATTCATATAATATACTTTGAGGAAAATTGAATTCCACCCCTCTGCAATCACTTCCCCCAAGGCAACAATCACTATTGACCATATAAAAACTGCAACTGTGGTTGGTTTGTGGTTCCCTATTGTTACTTAGAGAGAGAGAGAGAGAGAGAGAGACAGAGACAGAGACAGAGACAGAGACAGAGACAGAGACAGAGAAAAGTTTATTTGGCCTTGTGAACTCAGGTTCCTGCCCATGGTTGGCTGGCACCATTGCGTTTACCCTGAGCCAAGGCAGGATCTTCACAGCAGAAGGCACATGGCCTGTCGGAGCTGCTTATTACATGGCTGCCACAAGGTAGACAGGCGAGGGAAGAGAACGAGGAAAAGATATACACAAGGCATACCCTCCAAATTTGCTCTCAATGACCTATTTACTCCCATGAGGCTTCAGTTCCTAAAATACCTGATGAAATTAGCGCCTTCCGGGTCCTAGGTCCTAGTCCATCCCTCAAAAGAACTGGAGCCTAGGGTTCACATGAGCCTTAGGGGAAGGGACCTCG